GGTAGTCATGCTCACTCAGGATGATTGTCAACATGTATTTAAAAGCAGTAATTACCACTTGTCCATAAAGCTCCTTCAGTTTGTCTGTCTGCTGGGTGGAATTTTCTATCGTCTTCAAGGCATTCTCAATTCTGTTTAGCCTGTACTCGCAATATGCCTTTTCAAAGGAGAGAGAGTTACTGAAGAAGGAAAAAAACCAGTATCTGATTATTATCTAACAATGCAATGTGCCCATTATATACCAGACACTGTTTTAAGCTCTGGATTTAGTCCCCAAAACAGATGAGAAAACTGACAAAGGTTAGAGACTTGTCCAAGTATCAGGCAGCTTGTAAACCTATATCAATCAAACATATAATTAAGCATTTATCAATTTCCCTAGCCTCTCTTTCATGAATATTCTTATTAGAATTATTGGCCTTTTGAAATAAACATTTAAGAAGGAAATCATTCATCTGCTAAATAATTGTCTTAGATACAAAGATAATCTGAAGGCTGTTTTAAATGGGTTGTTTTAGAAGTTTCTTAAATTCATTAACAAAGCAATAAGCCACATAATGCTTCTTTAATCTTGTTTAAGAAACAAACAAATAATTGGCCAGGTGCGGTGTCTCACGCCCGTAATCCCAGCACTTTGGGAGGCCGAGGCGGGTGGATCACAAAGTCAAGAGATCGAGACCATTCTGGTCAACATGGTGAAACCCTGTCTCTACTAAAAATAGAAAAATTAGCCGGGTGTTTGGCATGCGCCTGTAGTCCCAGCTACTTGGGAGGCTGAGGCGGAAGAATCGCTTGAAGCCGGGAGGCAGAGGCTGCAGTTAGCCGAGACTGTGCCACTGTGCTTCAGCCTGGCAAGACTCTGTCTCAAAAAAAAAAAAGAAATAAAAATTAGCAAAGAAAAAATAACCAGAAATCTTAAAAGTAGTACTTGTAACCAAACAACTGGTAAACACTACTAACATACACACATTTAAAAATTCATCTAGGGCCGGGCGCGGTGGCTCACGCCTGTAATCCCAGCACTTTGGGAGGCTGAGGCGGGTGGATCACGAGGTCAAGAGATCAAGACCATCCTGGTCAACACGGTGAAACCCCGTCTCTACTAAAAATACAAAAATCAGCTGGGCATGATGGCGCGTGCCTGTAGTCCCAGCTACTCAGGAGGCTGAGGCGGGAGAATTGCCTGAACCCAGGAGGCGGAGGTTGCAGTGAGCCGAGATCGCGCCATTGCACTCCAGCCTGGGTAACAAGAGCGAAACTCCGTCTCAAAAAAAAAATAAAATAAAAATAAAAATTCATCTACATTAATGTGACACCTCATTGTTGATGTTTCAACCATAATCCATGAGGAAAAATATCTATCAAAGCAAAGACCAATGTCCTTTATTTATTATTTGTTTACCTAACAAAAAATTTACTTTTGGGCCAGGTGCGGTGGCTCATGCCTGTAATCCCAGAACTTTGGGAGGCTGAGGCGGGCGGATCATTTGAGGTCAGAAGTTCGAGACCAGCCTAGCCAACATGGCGAAACCCTGTCTCTACTAAAAATATAAAAATTAGCCAGGAGTGGTGGTGCACATCTGTAATCCCAGCTACCTAGGAGGCTGAGGCAGGGGGATCACTTGAACCTGGAAGGTGGAGGTTGCAGTGAGCCAAGACGGCACCACTGCACTCTGGTCAAAAAGAGCAAAATTCTGTCTCAAAAAAAAAATTTATTTTTATAAATATTCTTATCCAAGACTCATTAACAAAATGTTTGTGAAAATGTCTCTTATCTCACAAAATAGCCCAAAATCAAAACACTGAATTTTAGCACAAACATATTTAATAGGAGAAAAGCAGCATCACCTCTATTTCCCTTTTATTTTAATAAAGTTTAAAATTAATTTTTAATCTCTAACATATTTATATGGCTCAAATATAAAAAGAGAAACACTAAGAGGCTTTATTCCCACTGCTACCCAAATCTAACCTGTTCCTATCATCTCCTACAAATAACTATTTATTCATTGTTTCTCTTTATACTGTTTGTTTTGCAAATACACACGTAACTTTTTATATCCTCCTCCTCTTTTAAAAGGAAGTATATTATATATTGTTTTGCACCTTATAAACCAGTATCCCATTAATATGCTGCAAACTTAATTTCGATACATATTCTTTTGGAGCCTATGTATAACAGTAAAGAAACTTCTACTGAGTTATTCTCCCTACATCCTCCTCATAATTATACCCCACAACTCTCTATGGTTAACCTCCTTAGTGGTTCAAAGGGAAGACAGTGGTTAGAAAAAAGACTCCCTAAGGATGAAAGGAACAAAAGTTACCAGTACTCCTTCCAGTTTCAGAAACACTACTGACAAGCAAAAGGAACAAGGTAAAAAAAAAAAAAATCAGCAAATAGTTGGGAAAAATCATGGAAGAGAATACGGCTATAGTAAGTGTTTCTTCTTCTTTTTTTTTTTTTGAGACAGAGTCTCACTCTGTTGCCCAAGCTGGAATGCAGTGGCACAATCTTGGCTCACGGCAACCTCCACCTCCCAGGTTAAAGCAATCCTCCTGCCTCAGCCTCCCGGTGCCACTACGCCCAGCTAATTTTTGTAGTTTTAGCAGAGACAGGGTTTCACCATGTTGGCCAGGCTGGTCTTGAACACATATCATCGTGATCCACCTACCTTGGCCTCCTAAAGTGCTGGGATTACAGGTGTGAGCCACTGCATCCAGCCGATAGCTATACTAAGTGTTTCTAATAACTGTACAAGCAACTAACGAAATCACTTACTTGGCTAACACTTTGGTGTGAGTATTGATGACATTCAAGGCTTCCTTGAAACTTCCATTCTGGATAAGGCATACCACTTTACAATGCAGGGCAGTTACATCATCTTTGCTGCTCTGTAGTACTAGAGAACAATTTTAGAAAAGTCATTTTTAAATCCATTTCCTTTTCACATTTTTACTAAATTTTCCTACAACAGAAATAACTGGTCAAAACAACCAGAAGAAACAGCAAACAAAACCAAAAAAAAACTCAAAAAAAAACTAATCTTCACTTTTAACTTAAGAAGTGACAATAAGGAGAGTTATAAACTTTCAGTGAGATAAAGATTCCCTATATGCATGTACCAAGAAAGTGCAGTGAAATAAAGAAGCAATGTCTTCAGATTTTTCATCTTGAAATGCAAGCTACATCCTACACATTTCATTACTTCACAGAGAAAAAGTTCAGGTAGAATTCAGAAGCAAATGACCTAGGTTTGGTGCAAGCCTGCCACCAAATGCCTGGGGGTCTTGGGCATATCACTTAACAGCCAAATCTCAGTTTTCTGAGCTACGAAATGATTACAAAAGTATTACCTATTTAATAAGGTTACTGACAACATGAAATGAGAATATTTTGGAAAAATAAAAGAAATTATAAAGTATAATGCAAAGACAATATATCTTGATGGCAACGTTCCCAAAAATCATTAAAATATTCCCTTTTCACCTAAGAGAACCAAAGAGAAGTATAAGGAAGAACTCAGGTGGCAAGTTTCAATGCTAACAGCTGTTCAGTGTTAAAATGACCAGGATCATAGTGACTCTTGCTCCTGCGCAACTATGGAAGTTCAATTCTCAAAGAATCAGAAGAATTTCTACCAATTAAGACAACACATTGGTGAACAAGGTTGACAACCTGTGCTGATTAAAGAATTCCTGCAAAATACTACACTACTACTAAGCATATAGTACTGGTTGGAAGGTTAGAGTTAATTTAAAAAATTTAGGGATCAAAAAACACTAATTCGTAGCTATTTTTCTAAATGTCTGAAATCACCAAAGTGCACTGTGGGCACAATCACTACTGTTCACGTTAACCCAGCACTCGAGTGTTGAAAATTATTTAGATAGGTTTTCATGTTACTGACATACCTTTTATGTTACTACTACTCTGAACAGCTAAACCCTGCCTTGGTAGTTACATTTCCAAATCTAACATGCACAGGCTGTAACTTCAGTAGAGAAGAACTGTGCACCGCCGAGAACATTAAGTAGCATGGACATATTCCAGGTATGTAGGAAAGAATAAAAGAATATGATAAATTAAACCGCACACCAAAGGCATCAAAACCTGAAATTATCCCTTACAGGACCAAAAAAAAAAAAAAAACAGGCCAACTTTTCTTCCGACATTATTTCAAGTATTGGTACTTCCACACACTTATTTCCTAGCTTAACAACACTGAAGAGATTCTATCTATGGGAATGACAGGCCAGACATCCAGATCCAGCCCTTTCCTCTCGCCCCGTAGAATCCATACAGCTTCTACCTTGTCAGCAACAGCTTCTAAACTACGTGTCCCAAGCAGCTTCCTGCCCGCCCCTTCAGCGGCGAAATAGAACAAGCTCCCTCAGCAACACAGTCTGGATCACTGCGCTCAAGATGAAGAAGAAAAAGAATCAACGTGGAATATTTGTGAAATAAAGCAGAAGAGAAGGAGTCAAATAAGAAAACAGTTTGAAATGGGCTCCAGGAGCTGCGGTCTCTTTAAAACCCTCCCTCGCTTCCCGTGGGGGCTAAAGAGGGAAGTACACGTGGCTCTAAGCAACCAGGGACCCCAGGCTGGCCTGGTGGAGCGAAGGGGTGCGACCTGCATCTGCCGGGCGTTCGGGCACGAGCCGGGCGTTGACTGGGGAGGTCTTGGGGGTCTCCCCTTCCCGAGCCTACCGGAGGTGGTCGCGCGTGCCGGAAACAGGCCGCATCCTCCCGCCGGCCTGGGCCCGCCCTAGTGCCCACCCCGACACTTACTCTTATTGACGGTCTTGAGAGCGCGCGTGAAGTCGCCGTTCTGGCCATACCGGTTCACTTCACTCCACAGCGCAGGCACTGAAACCCCCCCGCTGCCGCCGCTCGCCATCTTGGAGGAGACGAGGGGAGGGGCGGGGCGACCTCTGCCCCGGAAGAGGATCTCCTAGGCAGCCAAGTGGAGGAGGAAGCCGGTGATTGCTAAGCGTCGCGAGGTTGGGAGCATCTTCAGCCCCGAGGCAGCATCAGAGATCATAATCTGCTCTCTTGGCAAGAAATTTGTATGGATAGAGTTGATACAGCTCACCTGAAGTTGGGGTGGAGAAAAGAGGCGTCAGACTCCTGGACGGGGTTGGTCACCAGTGTCGGTTAAAATTAGCGTGTTTCCAAGAGACCGCCGTGGTCGAGGCAGCGTCCTGGTCCCACGGTGTGGGGTGGACGATCGTTTGTAGGATGTAAATAAAAAGGCTATGAGGTGGTAAATAGAAGACTACCAGCTAGAAACCGTAGGGAGTCATTTGAAGAAGAAATAGGCACGGCTCATCAGTGGTTGAGGGAAAGGGATTTTGAAAGATGATTAGGGGGCCGGGCGCGGTGGCTCACGCCTGTAATCCCAACACTTTGGGAGGCTGAGGCGGGTGGATCACGAGGTGAAGAGATCGAGACCATCCTGGTCAACATGGTGAAACCCTGTCTCTACTTAAATACAAAAAATCAGCTGGGCATGGTGGCTCATGCCTGTCGTCCCAGCTACTCAGGAGGCTGAGGCAGGAGAATTGCCTGAACCCAGGAAGCAGAGGTTGCGGTGAACCGAGATCGCGCCATTGCACTCCAGCCTGGGTAACGAGCGAAACTCCGTCTCAAAAGAAAAAGACGGTAATCTCGCTATGTTGCCCAGGCTGGTCCGGAACTCCTGGGCTCAAGCAGTCCTCCCACCACATTCTCCCCAACTGTCGGGATTACGGGCATGAGCCACCACACACCTAGACTATGTGAGTGATTCACTTGATGTGAATTTTACCGTTTTTTTTTTTTTTTTTTCTTTTTTTTTGAGACAGAGTCTCAGTCCGTCACCAGTCGCCAGGCTGGAGTGCAGTGGCGCCACCTCGGCTCACTGCAACCTCCACCTCCTGGATTCAAGCAATTCTCCAGCCTCAGCCGTCCAAGTAGCTGTGACTACAGGCGCGCGCCACCACGCCCAGCTAATTTTTTGTATTTTTAGTAGAGACGGGGTTTCACCATGTTGACCAGGATGGTCTGGATCTCTTGAGCTCGTGATCCACCCGCCTCGGCCTCCCAAAGTGCTGGGATTACAGGCGTGAGCCACCGCGCCCGGCCATCATTGCAGTATTATACAATGCAAAGAGCATGAAAGGTGGCTTGAACTCTAGGTGCAGGAGGGTGTAATTCTTGTGAATTAGTAAAAATCGTGAGAAGAGCTTTAGACTTTTACTGACTAGAACTGTCACAGGTTTCAAGCCAGTTGTTTAGATTTCAGGGGGTGGGAATTCCAGATGACATGGTATACCCAAAATGTGCGAGAAAATTGGGTATACCCAAAATTTTGTTGTATTTTGTTATTCTGAGAAAATGTTTTGTAGATTCCATTGTATTCTCCAAAGGTGTTTATGTCTACCATTCCCTCCAAAAGTGAAGAGCCACTCGCCTAGTAGTACTTTTTAGAACAGTGACTTTATATAAGAATTGGCAGTTTTGGTTTCTGTATCATTCTAATCCCATATACTTTTTAGCTTTTAGAAATGCCTCAGAATTCCCGCCGCTATGGATTTGTTTCTATTTCTTATGTCATTTTAATGGAGTTTTGTGGCAAACAGCCTATAATTATGGGGCTTAATCTGCCATTTTTGAAACAGGAATCTTCCAAACCAGAGTGCCAGAGCGGTGTTTTTGGTTGTTTTTGCTGTTTTAAATAAACAACAAATTTACTTCTCACATTGTGAAGGCTGGAAAGATTGTCTGGTGAGGGCCCACTCTGATTCATACATAGATAGCAACTTTCTGTTTTCACATGGTGGGAAAAAAAAAATGATCTTTTCAAGCATATATCTGATGCCACTTTCCCACACTCATGACAAAATCCTAACTACAAAGCCTAGCAGTAAGGGCTTTTGTGATGTGGCCTCTGCTTGCCACCTCCCCAACTCATAGAGGTCTTCTTACTCATTTCCTAGCCCCCTTGCAAGCTATTCTCCTCTAACTTCTGTGTTGTGTGTCCCCCTACCTCCCGAATTTGCACTTTTATTCATTTGACAAGTGTTTGAATGTCTTGTATATGCCAGTGCCAGGTATTACACCAGTTGCTGGGATACAACTGACAACAAAGACAGCCCAGTGTAATAATAAATTTATTTTCTAGTTGGGAGAGATGGGTAATAAACAAATATGTACTATGTTTGGTGGTAATGTTTACTGAAGAAAATTATGGAAAGATAAGAAAGATTGAGTATAGACTGAAAAATTAGAGTCCTTTTCATTCACAATATACAATTGTTTTTTAGAGATCAGAGAGCCCTTCCTACTTTTGTGTATTTACAATACCCTATTCTTACTCCATATTAAGACTTAATAATAGTGTTTTGAAATTGTCTGCCCCAGAAGACTCCAACATTCATTGAGGGCAGAAGGTTAATTTTGTTCATCTTTGCATTCCCAGGGGACTTTCCCCCTCCCTACCCCCAGGGGTCTTATACATACATAGTAGGCTGTATTAGTTCTAATAAAAACGAAAACAAATAACAAACAAACAAAAAAACAGAACCAACAGGATATGTAGAGATTATGAGAAATTGGCTCAGCAAAATGGAAGTGAAATCCCACAATCTGTCTTCTGCAGGCTGAAGGCCCAGGAAAGCCAGTTTAGTTTCAAACCCAAAGGCTTGAGAATCAGGGGAGGCAATAATGTAAGTCCTACTCTGCAGGTCTGAGGCCCAGGAGCACCAATGTCTGGGGGCACAAAATGAATGTCCCAGCAATCCACCCTTCCTCCCCTTTTATGTTCTATTCAGGCCTTCAATGGATTAGATGATGCCCACCCACATGGGTGAAGGCAGTCTTCTTCATTCAATCTACTGATTCAAATGCTAGTCTCTTGAAACACCATCACAGATCACCTAGAAATGATGTTTGAGCAGCTATCAGGGCATCCCTTAGCCCAGTCAAGTTGACAGATTAGCCATCACGTCAGTATCTACAGCATATTTTTACATTAATGAATTTAGCCATTTATGATTTGAGAAGCTTCCATGTACAGTTTCATATGGTATCTTGTCAACTCTGAGGCAAGCAAAGGAAATAATATCTAGCTAAATTTTCTAACTTGATTTCCATCCCACTATTTTCACTGTACTGCAATGTGAGATGAACAATTCCACCCCAAGTATTTGAGGTGTGGGAAGCTGGATGCAAAAACACCATTAAAAACAACTTTCTTCAGTGGCTTTCTAAGGTCGGCTGGGCTGAAATGGCAGTTTGTGGATGCTCCATGGCACATCACACTGCCCCTTCATATTTTTAGCAATTAAATCAGCTGATGGGAATATTTAATTACAGCTAATTTTTTCTTTCTTTCTTTCTTTTTTTTTTTTGAGACAAGAGTTTCACTCTTGTTGCCCAGGCTGGAGTGCAATGGTGTGATCTCAGCTCACCGCACCCTCTGCCTCTCAGGTTCAAGCAATTCACCTGCCTCAGCTTCTGGAGTAGCTGGGATTACAGGAATATACCACCACACCTGGTTAATTTTTATTTTAACACAGACGAAAGGCGGAGAATACTCCAAGCCGCTTCTAATTAGCTGGAGGAGCATGTTCCTGCAGATTACCAGAACCCCCAAGAGTATGGAAAAGGGGGGGTTCCTGGAAACCCCCCAGTCTGCCTGCCCGGGCCTGCAATGCGATCAGTGTGCATTCTGCTGAGAAATAGGACGCTGGAAGAAAAAATGTCCACAGTTAACTGAGGAACAGGACGATCCTAAGCAGGAGGATCCAAATGACTGTGAAGGGGCTCTGTTCAATCTAATGGAAGGGCCACTGGACTAAGAGAGGGGGGCTGGACTCATATGCCCCCAAAGAGCCCATGGTCCGGACGACAGCCCTGTAACCCCCCCATCGAAAGGAACAAGGCCAGTGGTGTTCAATCAATTAAGGTATTAAGAGGACAGACTTTCTTGTACTTAATGAATTGCCCCTGCCCCCCTTCTCCAGCAAAACCTACTGTGCAAATCGAGGGCCACTATCCCATTCAACAAAGGAGACTACCTGCAGCTAAAACTGCCTCAGTCGGGGGTCATCCAGGCTCTCACTGTCCCTTGGGAAGGAGGGTGGAGACTTCCTAGCCAGAAGCAGAAGACTGATATTATCACCCAGGCCAGTGCAGGGTTTGCGTGGCTTTGCACCCAACTTATACACGCAGTTGGGATTATTGCCAGCAGCGGATAGTTGGTTCACTTAATTGGACTTAAAAGAATACCTCCTTAGCATTGGACTGGCCTTGGAGGGTCAAAAAGTATTTGCATTTCAATGGGAGAAATCCAGAAGCAGGTGTAACCACTCAATGCACCTGAACCCAGCTTCCCAGGGGCTCAGAAACTCTCTCATCATTGATGAGGAGGCATCAGCCTGTGACCATCCCCCAGAAGCTTCTTGCTTGCATGCTGCCCCCCTATGCTGATAACCTTCTATTGGGACACCCCACGGCAGTCGGGTGCGCAAACAAATGCCTTACTTCGGCACCTGGAGGGCTGTGGGTATAAAGTGTCTAAAAGGAAAGCCCTGATTTGCCAAAAAGCAAATGCAATATCTGAGGCTCGCCATCTGGAAGAGGGAACGCAGCCCAGAAGCAGAGAGGAAGCAAGCCCCTGCAAAGTAACAGAACCTGAGACCAAAAAGCAGGTAAGAGAGCTTCTGGGAGTGGTGGGTTTTGTAAATTGTGGATTTCCAAACTTCGCAGTACTGACCAAACCCTTACACACAGTGACAAAGGGGAGAGGGGAGAAGACAAGACACCCTTCAAATGGGGCAGAAGCTAAAAGTGAAACTTCTGTTGGCCCTGGTTTTGGGGTTAGCCAATTTTAACACAGCTTTTTCATGCTGTCAAAAAAAAAAAAAAAAAAAAAAAGGGAGGAAGAAAAATGGCAATCAAAGATTCTAGCCTCAACTCTGGGAAGAATTTAAATATCAAAGCACCCCACACAGCAGTGACTCTAATGAATACCAAAAGAACTCATTGGTAAGCCTGCCAAATACCAGGGCCCGCTATGTGCAGTGGTTGTACAAGCCATACATGAGCCTCGTTTAGGTCGAGTCACTTGAAAAGATGTTGGGTTGGTACTTTTACATCTTACACTTATCAGCCTTAACTAAAACTGTGGCACGGCGGTGTATTCATTACATGTCGGCAACACAACGTGAGGCAGTGTCCCAACTATTCTCCCTGGCATTCAAGCTTACGGAGCAGCTCTGTTTTAAAGATCTCCAGGTACTGAAATGTCCCAAGTGTGGGGGACATAAGTATTTGTTGGTCCTGTTGTGCACATACTCTGAGTAGGACTGAAAAGGCCCATGAAGTAATCCCTGTGCTCCTTCGAGATCTTATCCCTAGGTTTGGACTGTCACTGCGCAACAGATCAGACAACGGACCAGCATTTGTGGAGGATTTAGTCCAGAAAACAGCAACGGCCTTGGGTATCACCTGGAAACTGCATGCTGCCTACCGACCTCGGAGTTCTGGAAAAGTGGAAAAATCGGACCATCAAAAACAGCTTAGGGTAAGTGTGTCAGGAAACAAGGTTAAAGTGGGTGCAGGCACTTCCCTTGGTATTATTCAAAATTAGAGGCACCCTCTTTAGGAAAAACAGGATATTCCCCTATGAAGTCTTATACCATAGGCCCCCTCCCCTACTCCCGGCACTCCTAGGAACTCCTCGGGAGTGGGGAGAGATTGAGTTAGGATGCTAGTTACTAGCCCTAGGGAGAATTGCTTAGGATACTTCAACCCGAGTAAATAACAAATGTTCTGTAAGCCTTTTTCTCCCCAGTTCACCCTTTCTCACTAGGTAATCATGTGTGGATAAAGGACAGGAATACAGTCCCTCTAAAGCCACAATGGAAAGGACCTCAGACTTGATCCTGACCAATCCCAGCCTGAATCCACTACAGCCGTGTAAAACCAGCAACACCTGAGACTTGGACCAAGGCAAGGACTGCAGAATCACCTTAAAAAGGACAACAAGCCTTGCTCCAGCCACATCCTGGAAGCTGGCTGGTCCACGCATGGCCGAAGCATGAGGAAATTCACCGTGGGACTTGTTCTTAATATTTGGACTTGTACAGTAGGAGCATTAACTAATTTTAAAGAATGCCCTCGGTATGTACACCAGGTAGGGCATAAAAGTTACAGCCATTCTTTTGTCCTACAGTTCTTATAAATGTACAGGGGGACAGAGAAGGGAACCTGTTTATATAACGGTACTCAATATAAGGTGTGTAGTCCATGAAATGGACAGGTAGCTGTGTCATAGGCATCATTAAGCCCTCTTTCTTCCTATTAAGACGGGTAGGCTGTTAATGTATTCAGTCAACTCCGCTAGAGAGAAAAAGAAACCTAAAGATAGGAGAATGGACAGATAAGTGGCCACTGGAGAAAACTATTAAGTATTATGGCCCGGCCACATGGGCAGAGGATAGCTCATGGGGATACCAGACCCCTATTTACATGCTCAACCGGATCATCCAGTTGCAGGCCGTTTTGGAAATACTCACTAATGAAACGGGCAAAGCTCTGTCCCTTTTAGCCCAACAACAACAACAAAAACTCAAATGAGAAATGCGATTTACCAGAACCGGCTGGCCCTAGATTTGCTAGCAGCCTAAGGAGTCTGTGGAAAATTCAATGTAACCAACTGCTATCTGCACATAGATGACCAGGGGTAAGCAGTGGAAGGTATTGTGCGAGACATGACCAAACAAGCACATGTACCTGTACAAGTGTGGCACGGATTTAACCCTGAGTCCTTATTTGGAGGTTGGTTCTCATCCTTGGGAGGATTCAAAACCCTCACCGTAAGTGTTAAAAGAGCAGGCCAGCTGGAGCCTCCTGAATCTCCTTCCTGAAAACAACAGGCTAGGCCTTGGGGAAACTCTCCAGAAGGCACTATTTTTACTTAAAAAGAGATCAAACCAGAAACCTTTTCACGTGTGAGGCCTAAAACTGTAAACCAGAACCCTTTCATATGTGATTCCTGAAACTGTAAGCTAAAACCTTTTCACGTGAGTCCTAAAACATGAACCTAAGATTCTTCCATGTGTAACATCTAAAGTATAAGCCTATATAAAGGCTGAACCTCCCTTTGTTAGATGAGCTTGGCTGTTAGGCACCTATGCCACCTTGCTCCCAGCTGAAATAAATTCTTTCCTCCTGTATTCGGTGTCCGAGATCCTTTCCCGCAGCCGCTCCTGCTACAATAGTCCTATCTACCAGTTTAAATGAATGCTTAAAAATTTTCTACTGGATAGAAGTAGGTGGTGTCTTAAGGCTAGGTAAGGGTAAACAAGCTAAAATAGCAGCCAGTGACTTTAGAGACCATGAAACCAAAGTTAATCTTTTTAAGTCCTTTTAATTGTTCTTATAAACTAGTGTAAGATATAAACTTAAGTAGTACACATGAGTTTTATAATTTACCCATCACTGGCAGATAGCTAAGCATAGCACATCAGGGCATAACACAGTGTGAGGGAAATAAAGTGTACAATGACATCTTCTATTCTGGACCTAATAATTCAACAAAGAAAGAACTACTTGTGGTCATTGTGGTTACAAAAGGTTTCATGGAGACAGTGAAGATAAAGCTCTACTTACTAACAAATAGGTTTTAATGATAAAAATATGGGCCTTCAAAGAACTAAAGGTACCAATGTGTGACAGTCCAAAATTTATGAGGAAAATGAGTTCCCTTCATGGGTCACATCAGCAATTTTTTTTTTCCTCTTGAGACAGTCTCACTCTTGCCCTGGTTGGAGTGCAGTGGCATGATCTCTGCTCACTGCAACTTCCACCTCCTGAGTTCAAGGTGCTGCAATTCTCATGCCTCAGCCTCTGGAATAGCTGGGATTACAGGTACCCACCACCATGGCTGGCTAATTTTTGTATTTTTAATAGAGACAGGGTTTCACCACGTTGGCAGGCTGGTCTGAAACTCCTGACCTCAAGTGGTCTGCTTGTTTCAGCCTCCCAAAGTGCTGTGATTATAGGCATGAGCCACTGTGCCCAGCTATGTCATCAATTCTTAATATATAAACCATGAATAGGCTTCAGGAGAACCCAAAAACCAATGAAATCTGTTGGTAAGTTTTATTTGTGCTGTTTTCTACAGAGGGTCAACAGCATATGTATTTTCAAAGAAGTCTGTGGTGCAAAAGAGTTTGTAAAGAGTTTATTATGTTAGAAGTCCTTGTGGAATCAACTTGGAAAACAGTGGATTGAGAATAAGGACTGTCTAGATCAGAATAATTGTTGAATCTGACCCTCACTTGAGGCTTTTTGTACAGAGGAAGAGAAGACGGTAAATTCAAGGGTTAATCTGAAATTAACACCAACATGACTTGGTGATGAATGAAACGTGAAACAAGAGAAAAACATCAATGATGAAATCAAGGTTCTGACTTGCAACAGTGAGTATATCAAGAGTTACAGGCTTGAAAGAGGAATAAAATTGGAAGCATTCTGTTTTCTATGAGAGTGCCCATGGGACGTATAGGGAGAAGTGGACAGTTGAAAATACAAGTCTAGCCAGGCACAGTGGCTCATGCTTATAACCCTAGCACTTTGGGAGGCTGAGGTAGGAGAATTACTTGAGTCCAGGAGTTTCAGACCAACCTGAGTGACAGAGTGAGACCTTGTCTCTACAAAAAATAAAATTAGCTGGGCATGGTGCTGCAAGATTATAGTTAGTCCCTGTTACTTGAGAGGCTGAGGTAGGATAATTGCTTGAGCCCAAGAGGCAAGGCAGTAGTGAGCTGAGATCATGCCACTACAGCCTAGGCAACAGTGAGACCCTGTCTCAAAAAAAAAAAGAAAATACAAGTCTAGAGACACATAGCTGGCTGGGTGTCTCATGCCTGTAATCCCAGTACTTTGGCAGGCTGAGGCGGGTGAATAACCTGAGGTCAGGAGTTTGAGACTGGCCTGACCAACATGGAGGAAACCCTGTCTCTAATAAAAATACAAAATTAGCTGGGCGTCATTGCAGGCTCCTATAGTCTCAGCTATTTGGGAGGCTGAGGCAGGGGAATCAATTGAACCTGGGAGACGGAGGTTGTGGTGAGCTGAGATTGCACCACTGCACTCCTGCCTAAGCAACAAGAGTGAAACTCCATCTCAAAAAACATACAAACAAAAAACCCAAAACAAAACAAAAGAAAAAAAGAGACACATAGCTGGGAGTTAGTAATACTAGTTTTAGTTGAGGGAGTTAAGATGATTCAATCAGTACTAAAGAAGAAACTCAATAGCAGAGACCATCAATACTTAAGGAAAAAGGGTGAAATAAGACAAAAATAATAAAGGCTGGCTGAAATATCTTGGTCTCCAGACTAAGAAAGGATGGGTTAGGTGTTCATGTTTATTAATATGGATATAGAGAAGCATTTATTCACTAATACATTTTGTTTGTATTCTCTAATTTAATATCACTTTTCATCTTGCTTGATTTTCCTTCAGCTAAATTAGAAATTTGTAGTTTTCCCCCTAAAAAATTCAATGACATTCTTTCTTATAAATTACATTCTCTGATTTTCTTGTCAGCCTGCTTCAAGGAAATCCATGTGTTCAAAATGCTTGCTCGCAGTTTGCCCCATACCAAATGGTTGTTTAATCCAAATATCTGGGCAGCAAACTGAGCTGATCCTTCTGGAGAAAGTATGGTTGAACAGCCAAGACCTATTGGTTCAGAAAGAAAAGTCAGAAAATTGAGCTCAATTAATAATGAAAATACAACCTCACGAAATATTTTATACTCGGAGCAGTACTGCCACAGAAAATAAAAAGCTACTGCATTATTCTGACCAAAAGTAGGATCTGTAGAAGAACTTTAATACCAGAGTAGTAAAGTGATTATAAGAGGAAAAGCAGTATTATCTCCGATGAAGAGAGATTTTATATATATCATCTATCACCCTTCTTATAGAATTCACTTACAAAGAAACTTACCTTTTTGAAACTTCTGTTCACATATACTATCCCTTTCAATCCCTGATGAAGAACAACTGAAGTAAAACAGGGGTCAAGGTAAATGGAGAGAAATACCTGTTCTCAGACAAACTTGAACTACGTTGTTTTCATAATTTTCTGGCTAATCTTTCTGTCTGCACTTAAACTATTAACATTTTTAAGCAATAAAAAAAGTCAAATCCACAGAATAGCCGGGTGCGGTGGCTCACGCCTTTAATCCCAGCACTTTGGGAGGCTGAGGCGGGTGGATCATGAAGTCAAGAGATCGAGACCATCCTGGTCAACATGGTGAAACCCCGCCTCTATTAAAAATACAAAAAATTAGCTGGGCATGGTGGTGCGTGCCTTAATCCCAGCTACTCAGGAGGCTGAGGCGGGAGAATTGCCTGAACGGAGGTGGAGGTTGCGGTGAGCAGAGATCATGCCATTGTGCTCCAGCCTGGGTAACAAGAACAAAACTCCGTCTCAAAAAAAAAAAAAAGAAAGAAAAGAAAAGAAAAGAAAAGAAAAGAAAAGAAAAGAAAAGAAAAAAACCCACAAGGCCAATCTACTAATTTGTATTAGTATGTTATTTTATGCAGCTCTACCACTATGTGGTACTGGTCAAGTTACCTCATGTTAATTTATTGTCCTCTTCTATAAGGGAATTGTAACTAGTAGCTATTGGATATGACACTTCAATGAGTTGTTTATACAGGTTAAGTGTTTAGAGCATTTTCTGGTATACAACATATGTTCCAAGAATGTCAACCATTATTTTTGGCACATTGGGTAGTGTTTTTTACTTAATATTTGAAATACCGATGCCTCTTGCCCAGGACTCCCTTTCTGGTAAAAGAATAGCTTAAATTGTTTGTTTTTTTTTTTTAAAAAGGTTATCTAGTGAGCATGACATCAGAGAAAGAGAAATATGGGCAGTGTTCAGGTTACTGTACACAGTAACCTGATTTTACACAGGTTACTGTAAAACCTCTCCTCAAAAGATTATCCCCAATTCTAGTGATCATTATGTACAAGTCTTCTAGATTATTTGTCTCTCCTGAAACAGCATACCATAAAAATTGCAAATGTTTTGCTCATCATGCTCCCCATCTGTAAGCTCCAAGGATAATATCTATACAATTCCTCTGGCATAAATTTGGTTACAGCTTTATTTGTAACCACTGATTTTTTGCTTGAGACATTTGTATAGTCACGTCATGTTAAAGATAGCTGAGGCACAAAATGTAATTCTCGGAGCTTATAAAAACTGTCAAGGGAATAATGAAAACAGGCATAAACACACAAGGCCAGATAACAGCAGTAACATTTTGGTAACTGAAAGGCAAAGAGAGTGGTAACTAACTTAGCAGACCAAGAAAACTTAATCCTAGCTGGGCACGGTGGCTCATGCCTGTAATTCCAGCACTTTGGGAGGCTGAGGTAGGTGATCACCTGATGTCAGGAGTTTAAGATCAGCAGGGTCAACATGGTGAAACCTCATCTCTACTAAAAATGTAAAAGTAGCTGGGCATGGTGGTGCATGCCTGTGGTCTCAGCTACTTGGGAGGCTTAGGCAGGAGAATGGCTTGAACTCAGGAGGCAGAGATTGCAGTGAGGTGAGATTGCGCCATTGCACTCCAGCCTAGGGAACAAGAGCAAACTCTGTCACCAAAAAAGAAAGGAAAAAAAAAAAAAGAAAACTTAATCCTCAACTGAAAGCAGGAAAAGATGGAAAGCAACATGATTGACATAGCACTCTTCCAAAGGTTAACTAACTTAATTAGTGGCACCAGATACCTTTGGAAGGGAATAGGGACTACTAAGAAGATAATTGATTCAAAGTCTAAGAAGCATTCAGACCCTCAAATCTCCTTTCCCACTCTATCTACCTAACTGTCCCTTTAAAGCACTGTAGCTTTTTTTTTTTTCTTTTAAACATTATTTATTTATTTGTTTCTGAGACAGGGTCTTGCTTTGTCATTCAGGTTGGAGTGGAGTGGTACAATCACGGCTCACTGTAGCCTCAACTTCCTAGGCTCCAGTGATCCTCCCACCTTTGCCTCCCTACTAGCTGGGACCACAGGTGTGTGCCACCACGCCCAGATAATTTTTATATTTATGGTAGAGACAGGGTTTCATCCTGTTGCCTAGGTTAGTCTCAAACTTCTGAGTTCAAGGAAGCCACCAATGTCTGCCTTCCAAAGTGTTGGGATTCAGGTGTGAGCCACCACACCAGGCCTTTTAATTTTTCTGAAGGTAAAACAGACTTCAGTCTAGGCTTCTTTGGACTAGGGGACACCAAACACAGACAACTTTTGTTCTTTTTTTCTAGTCAACACTTAAGAAAACACCTAGATACTAATGTAAGTGGTTAATGGAAGAACAATCCCTAACAGATCACCCCACAGTAAAGCCCAATTTTGACATGCACCACCCACTTGAAGTTTCCAATTGTTTTTTAAGTCTTTTCATTTTTATTACTCAAAAAAGTTTAATTTTTTATTTAGCTTTCTGACTCTGTGCTTGCGCCTTCAATACTTTCAAAATGATTTTCTGCTCCTTGATAAGGAAAGCACGCTTGATCCTGTCACGAACACATTTAGCACACATTCCAATTATTTTTTTTAAATAGTGTTCCACTCTTAAAAGAGCAAACAGCCAAGGACTACCAGACAGCTGAAGAAAGTAACTATATACAATAGACTATAATCATCTTCTCCAGAGCACAAAAAAGAGCTCTTGGAAATTAAAAAAAAAAACACACACACAAGAAACAACAACAACCCAGAAAACAAAAACCAAAAGAAATATAAAAACATTGTGTCAAAAGAAGCCAGAGGCAGTGGTTCCTACCCAATCCCAACACTTTGGGAGGCTGAGATGGGAGGATTTCTTAACCCAGGAGTTCAGGACAAGCCTAGGCAACATATGAAGTGCCTGTCTCTACAAAAAGTAAAAAAATTAGCCAGGTATGATGGTGTGGGCCTGTAGTTGTTGTTACTTGGAAGGCTGAGGCGGAAGGATCACATGAGCCTAGGAGTTCAAGGGTGCAGTGAGATATGATCACGCCTCTGTGCTCCCACCTGGGCAACAGAGCAAGACCCTGTCTCAAAAAAAAAAAAAAAAACACAAAAAACCACAAATACACACACACACACACACACACACACACACACCCCTGTATCCAAAATGAAGGCTGGGCACAGTGGCTCACACCTGTAATCCCAGCATTTTGGGAGGCCAAGGCAGGCAGATCACCTGAGGTCAAGAGTTTGAGACCAGCCTGGCTAACATGTGAAATCACGTATCCAACTAAAAATACAAAAATTAGTCTCGTGTGGTGGTGCATACCTATAATCCCAGCTACTTGGGAGGTTGAGGCACAAGAATCACTTGAACCTAGGAGGCAGAGGCTGCAGTATGCCGAGATCACACCACTGCACTGCAGCCTGGGTGACAGATATAACTCCACCTCAAAAACAAAAACTAATTAGTAGAGTTGGTATGTAAAATTAAGGAAATATTCCAGAAAGTATAGCAACAAGACAAATAGAATAAACAGAATAAAATACAGAGGCCCAAATTTGGATAAATTAAAAAATGTTTGAAGAGAAAATATGGAGGGGTAAGAAAATTAGATAATTCAAGAAAAATGACTAAGAAATCAGAATTTCAGATGAAAAGAGCCCACCGAAAGTCCATAATGAAAACAGACTCAGCACATCATGTCTGTGTAAAATTTAAGAACAATGAAAACAGACAAAAGATCCTGAAAGTTTCCAGAGAGAAACAAAATTCATAAGAAACCTCAAATCAGACTGGTGGAAAAGCAATGGAGTCCTTAACAACTGGATGCTAGGAGACACTGGAGTAATAATGCTCTCCAAATTCCAAGGCAAAATGATTTTCAGCATAGGATTCTATTTATAAACTATCAAATAAGTGTAGGGCTTCAATATAAACAATTTGATACCTTGGCATCAAAATTTACCTTTTGTATTCTTTTGCCACTAAGTTCAAGAATGTACTCCAACAAAATAAAAATAAACCAAGTAAGGGGAAAACATGGGAGATCCAAGCCTAGAAAAAGGCAAAATGAGTCTCTACAATGATGGTAAAGGGGGATCCTAAGAAAACAGCAGTCCATACTGGACCAGGTTGGAGAGCTCAAGGACTTAATATAATTGACAGGAATCAAGAGTGGATATATACATCTATGAGAAAAATTAGGGGTTTTAGTAATAAAGCAAATCTGCTCCTACTGAAACAATATTGATCCTCATAAATTATAGAACATCAGATCATATCTTGGATTATGATGAACAAACCATAACACTCTTATGTGATCTAGTTCCATCAGTCAAAAGGATTATTTTTTTATCCCCAATTTTTATGTTGTTATTTTTTATCCCCAATTTTCCTTTTTGAGATGAAGTCTTGCTCTGTCACCCAAGCTGGAGTGCAGTGGTGCAATCTTGACTCAATGCAACCTCCACCTCTCAGGTTCAAGTGATTCTCCTGCCTCTGAGTAGCTGGGATTACAGGTGCTCCCCACCATGCCCAGCTAATTTTTGTATTTTTAGTAGAGATGAGGTTTCACCAAGTTGGCCAGCCTTGTCTTGAACTCCTGACCTCAAGAGATCTGCCCACTTCAGCCTCCCAAAGTGCTAGGATGACAGGCATGAGTCATTGTGCCCAGCTTTATCCCCAATAATTAAGGATAAAATTTTATTCTCTCTACAGAAATAACATGATCACATATACTTAAAAAAACTCAATAATGGCCGGGCGCGGTGGCTCAAGCCTGTAATCCCAGCACTTTGGGAGGCCGAGGCGGGTGGATCACGAGGTCAAGAGATCGAGACCATCCTGGTCAACAAGGTGAAAACCCCGTCTCTACTGAAAAAACAAAAAATTAGCTGGGCATGGTGGCGCGTGCCTGTAATCCCAGCTACTCAGGAGGCTGAGGCAGGAGAATTGCCTGAACCCAGGAGACGGAGGTTGCGGTGAGCGGAGATCGTGCCATTGCACTCCAGCCTGGGTAACAAGAGCGAAACTCCGTCTCAAAAAACAAACAAACAAACAAAAAAAACTCAATACCATGAATTCTCGGGAAAAAAATATCCAAACTTGATTTTACTACAGATCTCACCATCAGTTTATTGAAAACATAGGGAATGGAACAGCATGTTTACCACCACCTAGAAATGTAATAAGCCAAATCCAAAATGTAGAAAATACTATAGGATAAATGAAAGGGAAAAAGGGAGGATGAATTGTTATACATTAAAAAAAAATTGCCAGGTGTGGTGGCTCAACTCTGTAATCCCAGCACTTTGGGAGGCTGAGGCGGGTGGATCACGAGGTCAAGAGATCAAGACCATCCTGGTCAACATGGTGAAACCCCGTCTCTACTAAAAATACAAAAAATTAGCTGGACATGGTGGCGCGTACCTGTAATCCCAGCTACTCAGGAGGCTGAGGCAAGAGAATTGCCTGAACCCAGGAGGCGGAGGTTGCGGTGAGCCGAGATCGCCCCATTGCACTCCAGCCTGGGTAACAAGCGCAAAACTCCGTCTCAAAAAAAAAAAAAATTAAGACACTATCAACTAAATGCAATATAAGGACTGTGTTGGAGCTGAACAAACCAACTCTATATAAACAGATGAGACATTTAGAAAACTTGGACACCAACTAAAAATTATATCTTTAAAAATTACTACTACTCTTTCTTTTATTTATTTTTAAAATTTTTTAATTTTATTTTTTTGAGACGGAGTTTCACTCTTGTTACCCAGGCTGGAGTGCAATGGCGCGATCTCGGCTCACCGCAACCTCCGTCTCCTGGGTTCAGGTAATTCTCCTGCCTCAGCCTCCTGAGTGGCTGGGATTACAGGCACGCGCCACCATGCCCAGCTAATTTTTTTTGTGTTTTAGTAGAGATGGGGTTTCACCATGTTGACCAGGATGGTCTCGATCTCTTGACCTCGTGATCTACCCGCCTCGGCCTCCCAAAGTGCTGGGATTACAGGTGTGAGCCACCGCGCCCGGCCCACTACTACTCTTTCTTAGGTGTGAATACGGTATTGAAACTGTGTCCTTAAGAGTTCAAAGACAACAACTAACAGAAATTCTTGAGTTTGCAGGGATGATAGATCAAACAATATGGCCAACTAGAGTCTGCACAGAACCAGCTTACTGATGTCACAGGCCCAATTTCATACTAACTCCCCCAAATTTACACATGTGATCTCTAAGATAACATGAGATAACTGTGCATGCCCAAGGACTTTCTAGACCTCCCCTTTCCTTCCGCCAGTCACCTACTAATCCCAGAATCTACCCCCGAAACCTTTTCTAATAAAATTACTGCCTTAAAGTCAGCATAGGGAGTCAGATTTGAGCTGGACTCATGTCTCCTTGTTGGTTGACTTGAAAAAGGGTCTTCCTTTCTCAGAAACCTGGTGGCTTAGATAGTATTGGTTTCCTGTGCATCAGATAGTGTGCCCCTTTTGTTCTGTTAAGAATTTATGATTATGACTTAAAAACTAGAGCCAGCATTGCTTAAAGATAAATAAGTATAAATCACTATTATGTCTAAGATCTGCTTTAAAATAAGCCAGCAAGAGATGGCTGTAGACATAACAAGATGTTAATTGCTCAAACTAGGTCATGGGTACATGAGATTTTATTATACTATTCTGCCTACTATTGTGAATCTGTTAAATCGTTGTAATGAATAGTTTTTAAAAATTCAATATATCTTACCACTGGGTAGTCGAAGAGAAGACCACACATCCTGAGTTCCCCAGTCTGGTGTGAGGGGAGGACAGCTGATAACTGGATATGCAGTGTTCCCAGACACCACTGGTCCCAAACCATTACTTCTGCCTGCCACTGCCACAAAAACAGTAGGAATGCCATCCCCTAGGGAAATAACAAGTTTATAATTATGCTAAACATTTAAAAGAGATTTAAAGACATGGGTTTTTTTGGTTTGTTTAAGGCCTATATGTTTTAATTACTTGAGGTCCTTGAGTAGTCTCTGAAAAAAACATAAGACACTATTATTACACATATATTCAAAATATCAGGTTACTCTGCCACTTACTGTATAGGTTTGGTTGTTTCTGAGATCTACATTATAAAGGAGATAGCAGGGTGTTAGTGAGGGAAGAGCTCATAGGCCTCTTCTACTATTGCTGTGTAGGCTGATCAAAGTGAAGAATGACACCAAATGAACAGGTATCTTTCCTGACTGGGTGGTCCTTCAACCAACAGGGTGCAGGGAGACCCAGTTAATATAGACTAGGGGATTAGGGCATGTGTTGAAATAAGAGTTGAAGGAAAGTTTAATAATATAGTACCCTAAACTTTCAAGGCCCTTTGAGATAAACACACACATTTTTGAGATGGAGTTTTGCTCTTGTTGCCCAGGCTGGAGTGCAATGGTGCAATCTGGGCTCACTGCAACCTTCACCTCCCAGGTTCAAGCAATTCTCCTGCCTGAGCCTCTTGAGTAGTTGGGATTACAGGTATGTGCCTCCACATCTGGCTAACTTTAGTAGAGATAGGGTTTCTCCATGTTGGTCATGCTGGTCTCAAACTCCTGGCCTCAGGTGATCACCTGCCTCAGCATCCCAAAGTGCTGGGATTATAGGCCACTGTGCCCAGCCCCTTTGATACATTTTTAACATAATCTCTCTTTTTTTTTTTTTAAGACGGAGTTTCGCTCTTGTTACCCAGGCTGGAGTGCAATGGTGTGATACTCCTGGGTTCAGGCAATTCTCCTGCCTCAGCCTCCTGAGTGGCTGGGTTTACAGGCACGCGCCACCATGCCCAGCTAATTTTTTATATTTCTAGTGGAGACGGGGTTTCACCATGTTGACCAGGATGATCTCGATCTCTTGACCTTGTGATCCACCTGCCTTGGCCTCCCAAAGTGCTGGGATTACAGGCTTGAGCCACTGCACCCGGCCTTAACATAATCTCTTAAGCAGTTCTTTATTAAATTTGTAAATTATCCTTCTGTTTCCTAAAGCAGAGATTTGTAACCTAAATCCAAAATTTTCTGTATTTGCAATTTTCTGAAAAGTTGTAGAATTCATTAGTTTATCAAAGGAGTCTGAGTTCCCCCAACCTCCCACTCCCCCATAATTAGTAACTACACTCCCATGTCGACAACCTTTAGACGAAATACTCAATCAACATTTTTTTCCAGCTGAGAAACATTTGGTTGTAAATCCAGGGCTCCATTATCAATGCTATCCCATTATTGTTTACATACCGAATTCTGAAACTGTTCCTTCATTTCCCATCTGACTGCCTCCTAGGAAAGGGTGGCAATTAAAGATTCCTGGGAGAACCTGCTGTTTCAACCTTGGCCTCGTGTAACTGTGGGTAACTATTTTGTATTGGAGTATATTAGAAGCAGTGCTCCAGGGGCTTCTTCCCAGGTAAGGATGCCAGAAATTCTCATTATTCTGGTCTTTGTTTTCTTTTCATGCTTGCATTTTTAAATCTTTCTCCCTGCTTCTTTCTTTCCTAAGTGCCTAGAGTACCTTAAGCTCTTTGGAGGTGACTATTAAGAAAGCCCAGGCCAGGCGTGGTGGCTCACGCCTATAATCCCAGCACTTTGGGAGGCTGAGGTGGGCAAATCACGGGGTCAGGAGTTCAAGACCAGCCTGGCCCAGGGTGAAACCCCATGTCCCCTAAAAATACCACAATTAGCCGGGCATGGTGGCACGTGCCTGTAATCCCAGCTACTTGGGAGGCTAAGACAGAAGAATCACTTGAACCCAGGAGGTGGAGGTTGCAGTGAGCTGAGATCATGTCACCGTACTCTAGCCTGGGTGACAAAGCAAGACTCTTTCTGGCGCGGGGGCGGGGGGGGGAGCCTAGTATATTATGTTTTCCTTTAGAAAGGTGACAAAGCTCTTTTTCAGCATTATTAGTCTAAAGTGTGTAATTACTTTTAGCAAAATCAGAAATACCTGAAATGTCCATATTACTTGTGGTTTACCTTCATACTCAGCTTTAATCCTCAGTGTTTCATCTGGTCCTTTATGTGCAGATGTTACTCGAAGTTCACATGGAATGCCAAAATTTCCACAGGCCTTTTTGATTTTTTCACAGTGACCAAGATCAGAAGTAGAGCCCATCAACACTACAACCCTGCACTGACTTTCTGATTTCAAAAGAAACTGGAGAACAAATACATGGATATGAAAAGAAAATAATAACAAAAATATATCAATGAGCTACAGTTTGTATTAAAATGACATCTGGGCACAGTATTTTCTTTCTTAAATGAAATTTAAGGCAGAGACAGAACAAAAAAAGACAGAATTCAATTTTTAAAATAATCTCAGTATATAAAGGAAAATGGTCATCATTAAGATCTAAAGAACTCAATTTTTATCAGACAAATTATGTTTACTTAAAAAGTGTAACTCAAAATCTTTTAATTAATATTCAGGAAATTATAATACAAAACATTTCATCCAAAGACCTTTAGTGCACTTTGTTTAATGAAAGCTTTAAGGTATGATAAGCCAAATCAGAAGTCATGTTTTAAGTCTTTGTAAGTTAATTGCTTGGAACTAAAAATGTATCTTCCTATAAGAATAATGTTCTCAAATGTGATTATGACCCTTGCATAATCACAAACCCCATTCGACTCCCAGAATTATAGTAATACCATAAAAGTTAAAGTAACATTTAAAGTCACACGGAGTTCCATTTCCATCCATCCCATGCTAATGGAACTTTGCCTAGCAGTGGAGGTGAGTAGGAAATACAAGCTTTCTCCTATGGGGCAGGGAGGAGACAGATTCCAGGTTGGCGCAACAGGATCTGGAGGTGTGTATTGGCCCGCTTAACAGCAGGAAGTTCCGGTATACTAGGTAAGGATAGCCCTGTTGATACATTTCCTAAAAGTTCCTCACTTTCAACGTCACTGAAAAGAAAAGCCCTATACTCTTCCACTTTTTTTCTTTTGAAATAAGATTTTCTTAGAAGAAAAACACAGTTTTATTATAGAAGGTTTACCTCTACTCTCTCTGCAACCCACTCAAAATTTTTCTTTACCATTTGGAGCCCTTCAGGAGTTACTTCTTTGAGGTCCCGATAAGACTGAAAAATAAGACAGAAAGTTTAGAAAACAAGTATCTCTTGCTACCTGAAACTATTTAGTTTCTGAGTTTTGGGGAGGGATTTAAAGAGTTTTTATAGCAAGGGATACTTCTGAAAAGGCATCTTTTCACTTCCTGAATTAAACTAGAGGAAGTTCCATAGTAAAATATACTTTTATTTTCATTTAAGTGTTTTCTGTACTAGCAAGTACAATTAATTGCCTTGAGAATTCTTATAAAGTATAGAAAGGGTCTTGCTCTAATTTTGTTTTTTTAATTTAAGTTCTGGATACATGTGCAGAATGTGCAGGTTTGTTACATAAGTATACATGTGCCATGATAGTTTGCTGCACCTATCAACCCATCATCTAGGTTTTAAGCCCCATATGCATTAGGTTATTTGTCCTAATGCTCTCCCTCCCCCTGCTCCCTACCCCTGACAGGCCCCAGTGTGTGTTGTTTCTCTCCCTGTGTCTATGTGTTTTCATTATTCAACTCCCACTTACGAGTGAGAACATGCAGTGTTTGGTTTTCTGTTCCTGTGTTAGTCTGCTGAGGATGATGGCTCCAGCTTCACCCATGTCCTTGCAAAAGACATTATTTCATTCTTCTTTATGGTTGCATAGTATTCTATGGTGTGCATGTACGACATTTTCATTATCCAGCCTATCACTGGTGGGCATTTGAGTTGGTTTTATGCCTTTGCTATTGTAAATAGTGCTGCAATAAACTATGTTTTCATAGAATGATTTATATTCCTTTGGGTATATACCCAGTAAAAGGATTGCTGGGTCAAATGGTATTTCTGATTCTAGATCCTTGAGGAATCACCACACTGTCTTCTACAATGGTTGAACTAATTTGCATTCCCAACAGTGTAAAAGCTTTTCTATTTCACCACAGCCTCACCAGCATCTACTGTTTCCTGACTTTTTAATAATAGCCATTCTGACTGACGTGAGATGGTATCTCATGGTTTTGATTTGCATTTCTCTAATGATGAGTGATGATGAACTTTTTTTCATATGTTTGTTGGTTGCATAAATGTCTTCTTTTGAGAAGTCTTTTGTTTTTTATAGGAGCAGAAATGGAGCCTGGTAACATCCAGGAGACTTGGGATAGTCCAGATCTGTCCCTGACTCTAATAATTACGAAGATAACCATCTTTTTAAGATACTTAGTTTTCATTTAGCCAAAGATAGTACTTGCTGTTATTGTGAGAATGTAATTAAGATGAGACATTTGCTTCATAAATGTAAATTATTATTCCTATTATTCTTATATTAGGATACCAGAGATATTTCTCTTTAAAAATAAACATTGATCAACAAATCAGGTTCTTATCATTTGGAATAATAATTTGCTTTTCCCCTCATCTCTCCTTTCTCCTGTCTCAGCTTGATCTCAAAAAGGATAAAAGACCTGAAGCATTATCTACCTGTTTGTCTTTCTGTTGGCTTCGATCTCCTGATGGCCAGAGTCTCCAGGAATCATTATCGATAACATCAGCAAGAACAATTTCTTTGGTGGTTACATCAACACCAAATTCAATCTGGAAACAGTATATCAACAAAGTTTTCAAAACCTATTCTATGAAAACATCTCTCAACTATAACCTACTTTCAAATCCCATTATTTTATCTGTACCTTCATATCAACCAGAGTACAATTCTGGGGCAACCAGGATTTCTCCAGTATTTCAAAAATAGCCTGTGTAGCATGACTCATGATATCCACTTCAGTTTGGCCTATAACAAGTCCAGCAAAGCAAAATTTTGCAGCAATCAGCTGTTCCTCAGACCACTGTGGGTCATTATTGGCATCATCCTGTGAATAAAGTATAGTAGTACAATTAACTTAACTCTAAAATTTTTAAACTCTTCAGAAAAACTAACACCTTTTTCACCTTAAGCATGAACTCCTTAGAAATTTTCAGCCAAGTGCAATGGCTCACACTGTAATCCCAATAATTTAGGAGGCTGAGGCAGGAGGATCACTTCAGCCTAGGAGTTCAAGAGCAGCCTAGGCAACAAAGTGAGACACCTAAAGAAATTGTTTATGATACCCTTTAATTCAAAGCAATTATTACTCCTCTTTTTTTTTTTTCTAGTTAGCTCCTGCAAGCAGAAAAACTATTACTCTTAATTTGTCTACTCTCAATACTACTTTAAAATTCAAAGTATTTAGGTGAGTAACTTACTCTAGGTCACAAAGTATTTCAAAGAATTTGACCTCTCTCTATAAACCAATTTAAACAGAATTTAAATTCGTGATTTTTGATTTTCCTTAGTAGCAGTCATCAGACATGACAGGAAGGCCAAAGCACATTTTAATCAATCAAATCTTTCCAAAACCACAGTTCTCATAACCTTCTGACCTCACTTTTTATTAGAATTTACACAGGACTACAGTTTTTTAGGGACATTATTTGATAATTCAAGAGACCTCAGACAAAGTAAAGAGGTAAGTGAAAAAATGAAATAATTTCATTTTATTCTAAGCAGTGTCCCAACTTTATATGACAATATCTTTAATAAATTCTTGATCTATGTAATCACAATACACACAAGTTATGTAACTTATTGATTAAAAAGCAACACTGATATTGCTTCTCAAGCAGATCTACGCTTAACATAAATCAAGATGGTTAAAGCAGTAAAGCCTATAAAAATTCATAACCACTGATTCCTAAAACCTTTATATATTTTCACTTAAAAGAGACATTGTTAGTATAGTTTTTCTGTATTAGAATATAAAGTGATTTCAACTAAATTTTAAAAAATTAGTTAAATGTTGTCTCTTCTTCCATCTTGGTTCAAAGGTAAGTAGATTTTCAGATGCTTTCTTTTAAAATTTGATTTATCACTGCTAATGGAAGTATACATTATTGACGTATTGGCAACTAGATACAATATACATTTTGGAATGATGTTGGCAGTACCAAAATATCAAAAACTTTGCTTTAATATTTAAACATTAGATTTTCTAATTATAAATTTATTGCTGTGTTATAGTAAAACATAAAATAGAGGCATAAGATAATTACCTTAAAAAACAACTCCACTTTAGGTGGGTAAAACTTATATCCTTCCTTGACACCAGGATTTCTTTTGAGAAAAGAACCAGTTGCTATTCTTCTGCAAACCCATTCAATTGGAATCATTTCACACTGGGGTGCAATGAAAGCTGTCTCCCCACATTTTCTGGTGAAGGCAGTTTTAATACCTATATATTGATAATTACATAAGGTTTAATGGAATTCCTAATATGTACCCTAAATCTAGTCTATTTAGAGATTTAAAAAAATTCAGGTTTACTTAGTTTCACAGTACTAGACATAAAACCTGGAAAGTATCTTTCAACATTTCCTGTGAACCAATTAAGTTTTAGCTATGTTAAATGCCAGATAAAATAGTTTAAAGACAATTATTGGAGTATTTCATTTAGGTAACCATCCTTCCCTGTTCCCCTGGGCACAGGACTCTCAGAGTTAAAACAGATAAAGTGGCCGGGTGCGGTGGCTCGTGCCTGTAATCCCAGCACTTTGGGAGGCCGAGGCGGGTGGATCACGAGGTCAAGAGATCGAGACCATCCTGGTCAACATGGTGAAACCCTGTCTCAACTAAAAATACAAAAAATTAGCTGGGCATGGTGGCGCGTGCCTGTAATCCCAGCTACTCAGGAGGCTGAGGCAGGAGAATTGCCTGAACCCAGGAGGCGGAGGTTGCGGTGAGCCGAGATCGCGCCATTGCACTCCAGCCTGGGTAACAAGAGCGAAACTCCGTGTCAAAAAACAAAAAAAAACCAGATAAAGTCCTGGACAAACATAACACAACTAAGTCACTCTAATTACTTGTTATAAAGGTCTAGAAATGGATAACAGGATGAGTGTAAATACACTGTGAAAATACATTCAAGCAAACAAAAATTTGGGCTTTATCTCCCATTACTTAATATAATCCTGTAGCTATGTAGAACTACCAAGGGTACCCAGAAACTAATCTTCTGACTGCTAACATTTTAAAGGGTTAAGCATTCTAAAAGTTTAAGTGGATGGAGAGAGAGAAAACTTGGGAAGCAAAAGATTGGTGGAACAGACCAGGTGAGGTGGCTCACACCTGTAATCCCAGCACTTTGGTAGGCCAAGGTGGGTGGATCACCTAAGGTCAGCAGTTTGAGACCAGCATGGCCAATATGGTGAAACCCCGTCTCTACTAAAAATAAAAAAAATTAGCTGGGCATGGTGGCACACACCTGTAATCCCAGCTACTGGGGATGCTGAGGCATGAGAATCACTTGAACTCTTGAAACAGAGATTGCAGTGAGCCCAAGAGTGTGCCACTGCACTCCAGCCTGGACAACAAAGCAAGATTCTGTCTATCTATCAATCAATCAATCAATCAATGGAACACTTATCTGTATTGCAAAAGAAAACTAAAATTAATTTGGTGCTCTCTTTAGAAATTACATCAGTCACTGGGAAGCCACCAACCAAGAAACCTTGAGATAAAAATCTTAGATTCTGTGACTTAGGAACTCTGGAAGATCCTTTAAATTTATAGTAATACACTCACTTTCACAGCATAGGGGGATTTATGATGTAGGTGACAATCCAGGTTTGCAATTAAATGTTTTTCACATTAACCAAAATTGTGAAATAGGATACTTTGGAATAGACAAAACTACTCCAGGAATGCACTGACAATAAATTTAAATTGCACTACCTTGCTATTTTGTGGAAGGCAGTTAGAGCTAACTTAACTGAAAGCAAAAGCATTAAATGCCCTTTTGAATTTAAGAAAGATTAGTGCTACTAGAAACTCTAAGAAATGAAAGGGCAACTGGGAATATTGAAATTAAAAGTAAGGAAAGTTATTATAAAATTAGAACTGGCAGGAATGATAAAGAACAAAGCTTTTATTTCATAGGTAAGGCTTCAAATGATCAAAACATCATTTGGTTAAATGATCCAAAGCAATGAGGCTCTTTACACTGTGGGGAAAGAGTTCAAATCTTTTCCCAGCTGAAATTTCATATACTACAGACCAACCAGCAACTGAATGAATCCCTGCAGAAAAACCCTTTATCCTAATTTCCTTTCCTTTGCTCCAAATACCCACCACACAATGTTCTGATCTTCATTTGGTCTTTAGAATCTATTTCTCTACTGAAAATAGAGCCTTTATTCAGCTTTTGAACAGGAGGGCACTCTGGAATTTTAGTTCAAATCTCTCACTTGGGGAATGGCAGAAGGTTTGGTTGCAGTCTTCAAATACTTTTCAGGGCTTTCAAGTGGAAGAGGAATTTGAAATTCTGTATTATCTCCCAGAGGCAGAACAAAGATCATTTGTATAGAACTGCAGGGGGTAAATTTCAGTCCATCTGTTAGAAGTGCTTAACATCAAAATGGGTTTCCTTCACAGTTAAATTCCTTAAGACTGAAGATGGCCTTGGAGAGGTAAGCTGCACAGAGAGCACCATGTGCCAATAAAGATTACAGCAAACTTAAGATTCGTTTTAATTCAATAACACTAATAATTCCAAACCAAATAAAGTGTTGTTGTGAAGTTTAAGAGTTCTTAGTTTGGGCCAGGCGGGCGCGGTGGCTCAAGCCTATAATCCCAGCACTTTGGGAGGCCAAGGTGGGTAGATCACGAGGTCAAGAGATCGAGACCATCCTGGTCAACATGGTGAAACCCTGTCTCTACTAAAAATACAAAAATTAGCTGGGCATGGTGGCGCGTGCCTGTAATCCCAGTTACTCGGGAGGCTGACGCGGGAGAATTGCTTGAACCCAGGAGGCGGAGGTTGTGGTGAGCAGAGATTGCGCCATTGCACTCCAGCCTGGGTAACAAGAGCGAAACTCCGTCCCAAAAAAAAAAAAAAAAAAAGAGTTCTTAGTCTGATTTAAATTTACTTAGCTTGTGAGACATCTGCAAACATGTTGTTAACCTTAAAGCCAACTTCCTGTGAAAGACATCAATGTGCTTACCAGACAAGGTGGGAGGGGTGACTGTGAGGGAGCTGCTTACCTGCTTCCTGTAACAACTGAAAAATACAACTGGTGATTTTATTTGAGATTGCAGCTTTTCCTTCCAGGTGATTCTTTCTGGCTGCATTTCCTGCTGTAATCTGGTCCTTGGACTGCAGGAGGACTTTTCCTGGACTATCTAACAATTCGTAGACTTCTTTTGTTTTACCCTCATACAATTTTTTACCAATGTTCAGTACTGTGGAAATAAAATGGAAATAGATCACAATTCAGAAAGAAATTTCCTGAATACTGAAGACTAAGTCATCTAGAATGATGACTCACTAAATATACAGTGATTAAGTAATATTAATAAAAATTAAATCATCTGCATAAAATCATATACTCTACAATGTACTTCTCATTATTACATTTGAGTCACATAATTTTGTGAAGAATTTTGATTATGTAAATTATTATAGAAATTAGTAAAGCAGAAACCAAAAAGGCTGAGGGGTCATGCAGTTAGGAAATATAAGAGCTAGATAAAATTCTAACTCCTCTGACATCAAATCCTGTCCTCTTTCCACTATTAACCTGCCTCTCATGGCAGAACCGAACTAGAATTAAAATTAAGACACATTAAAAGTGACGTAAATATACTAGTATTTTCATAGACACACTCACAATATAGTTTTGAGTAGCTCCCAGGAAAAAAATGTGATTTTTGCTGATATGTGCTTTTTTGCAGGCAAAATGGGAACATTCAGCCAGATGGGTTTCTTGATTTCAAGTTAATATTCAAGGAGGCATACTATTACATTGAAGTTAGCCCATTTGGAAGCACCACTCTCTATTTCTTAATGCCTCCATTAACCCTTTCTCTTCACTAACAGTTTAAAGAAATCGTGAGGAAGTGAGCACAAAGGAATCCAATTTTGATGCTGATCACAAGAACTAAGAAGTACATGAAAGGACAATTTAGAGAAAGATTAAAAATAATAGATGTTTTGGAACTTAAAATTTCCAAAGGGAGAAATCAGCCCTCATGCCCCCAGAACACTCTCAGTAACAACATTTTCCCAATGTATCCATGTGCCAAGGGATATGCCAGTAAATAAGAATCTCTGCTCTCAAGAGACCTGAGTCTGAGGAAAGTTGATATTAAATAAGACATCATAATAATAGAATGCAATAAATACAGACTACGGAACTAGTCTAGATATTAGAAAAGGAAGTCTACAAGAAAGTGACATGTTGCGATCTGAAGAATGATCAAAATTTAGCCAAAAGAGAAAAAGGGGTAGGTAGTGTTGATGAATAATAAATACAAGGTGGTCAATGTGGATTGCAGAACTTCAGTCTGATTGGAACTGGAGCTCTGGGTATATGTACATTGCTGTTGAGCAGGGAAGGGGTGGGGACTGCAACTAAGCTGTAGAAAAGAATGGCAGGAGACAAGACTTGGGAGTTGGACAGGGGCCACGTCACCAGCTAATGGAGGTAACCATTAAATATTTATAATTTAGTTAACAGTTGCCACTATAGGGTACCTAATCTAGAGGATGAATCCCTACTCTCCCTAATGTAATGTCTAGACTCACTGACACAGTTACAAAGCCCCTTCAAGATACAGCCCTGGCTTACTGCTCCAAATTCTTATTTGTCTATTTCCTATCTAGAACTCCAACATGTTTAATTCTTAGAACCTTCCTTCTGGGGCTTCTGACAATTTCTTCTTTCCTAGGCCTGGAAAACTTCCCCTCCATTTTGCTACACATCCTTCTGGTTTCACAAGTCATGCTGGTTGAGTTTAGACTTGATCCTAAGAAGAGCTATAAGGCTTTTAAGTGCTGAAGCAAAATGGTATTTGGAAAGATCATTATGGTTTCTGTATGGACAATGAAGGGAGGAAGGGCTGGGTGAACAAAAACTAGAGCCTGGGAAACCAGTTAGGATGTTGTTGCAGTAACTTGAACAAGAAACGTCCTGGCCAGGTGTAGTGGCTCATATCTGGAATCTCAGCACATTAGGAAGCCCAGGTGGGCGGATTGCTTTAGCTCAAGAGTTCAAGACCAGCCTGGGCAATATGGCAAAACCCCACCTCTACCAAAAATGCAAAAATTAGCCCACATGGTGGTGCGTGCCTGTAGTCCCAGTTACTTGGGGAAGTCGAGGCTGCAGTGGGCCAAGATTGCGCTATTTCACTCAAATCTTTTTTTTTTTGAGACGGAGTTTCGCTTTTGTTACCCAGGCTGGAGTGCAATGGTGCGATCTCGGCTCACCACAACCTCCGCCTCCTGGGTTCAGGCAATTCTCCTGCCTCAGCCTCCGGAGTAGCTGGGATTACAGGCACGCGCCACCATGCCCAGCTAATTTTTTGTATTTTTAGTAGAGATGGGGTTTCACCATGTTGACCAGGATGGTCTCGATCTCTTGACCTCGTGATCCACCCGCCTCGGCCTCCCAAAGTGCTGGGATTACAGGCTTGAGCCACCGCGCCCGGCCTGTTTCACTCAAATCTGCGTGACAGAGTGAGACCCTGTCAAAAAAAAAAAAGAAATGTCTTGGTCTAAGCAAAGAGTAGTGGGCAAAGATGCAAGACATTTAAGACAGTGGCCTTGAGAATTCAGCATGGAGGATAAAAGAGAAGGAAGAGTATAGAGCAGTGAGCCATGTGCAGTGGCTCACACCTGCGATTCCAGCACTTTGGAAGGCTGAGGTGGGCAGATCACTTGAGGTCAGGAGTTCAAGACCAACCTGATTAACATGGTGAAACCCCGTCTCTACTAAAAATACAAAAAATAGCAGGATGCCATGCTGCATGCCTGTAATCCCAGCTACTCAGGAGGCTGAGGCAAGAGAATTGCTTGAACCTGGGAGTTGGAGGCTGCAGTGAGCGAAGATCAAGCCATAGCACTCCAACCTTGGGCTTGAGAGTGAGACTGTCTCGAGAAATAAAAAAGTATCCAGGGCAGATAAAGAAATTAACGTTTATGTAAATTAATATGCAATAAGCCTGGCAAAGTTTGTATCGGTTTGTATCGAATGCCCCTCCTCTTAATTTAGTTGAATCTGTATTACTTAGCCATTAAATAGGGTAGGAATTTCAATTAACAGGTAGAAACAACATTAAGAAACAACCATATGTGACATACGCTACCAGTGCCAAAATGAAGGCTACAAATTTGTAGATGAATTCAGAAAAGACTGATGAGGACTAAAAATGGTTCATGGAATTGAAATTTAAGAGTCTGTGAAAGCACAAAGCATTGAGAAATTCTAGGACTCTGCTGTCCAATAAGGCCAGCCACTAGAAATGAGGCTATTACAAGCTGAGATGTGTGTGATTTAAGTGTTAAAATATACCCTGCATTTGACATGAAAAAAATGCAAAATACCTAAACAGTTTTTCATCTTGATTCCATGCTGAAATGTATCTTGTGTATATAGGGTTAAATATATTAAAACTTGCTCACGTCTGTAATTCCAGCACTTTGGGAGGCCGAGGTGGACTTGAGGTCAGGAGTTCCAGACCAGCCTGGTCAACAAGGCAAAACCCCCTTCTCTACTTAAAATACAAAAATTAGCAGGGTGTGGTGGTGTGTGCCTGTAATCCCAGCTACTCAGGGAGCTGAGATAGGAAATCGCTTGAACCAGGGAGGCAGAGGTTGCAGTGAGCCTACACTGCACTCCAGCCTGGGCCACAGAGTGAGACTCTGTCCAAAAAAAAAAAAAAAAAAAAACCCCCACAAAAAACACATATATGTATATATATATATATATGTGTGTGTATGTCTATATATATAGACCGACACACAAACCCATTACACCAGTGGTTTTTTTTTTTTTGGTTTTAAAATGTGGCTCCTAAGATAAATTTACATTATATTTCCATTAGCCAGCAATGCTCTGGGGAAAACATAAATAAAATGTATATAATGAAAAGCAAACTTTGGTGAATTAACCTGACTGGAACATAAGCTAAGGATTCACGTTAGAGAAAAATGAAAGTTAGGGGTGAAGAGGTAGAAAGGATAGCAATATTCAGGATTTGGAAGAAAAGGCATTTCAGACTGGATTTAACATCTCTAGAGACGCCATGAAACACTTTTACCTTTTAGAGACCATAAAAGTGACATTTTAGAAAAATCAACCTGCCAATGGTATGCAAAATGGAAAGTATTAGAGCAAAGATTTTAGAGATTTGTCAGTTTAGAGGTACAGGACCATGACTGCAAGAAACACTTTGGTCCAATGCCTTGATTTTAGGGAGCTGATAATATCTGAATGTTTTTTCCTGAGTCTACAACTTTCGAAAGCCGAAATTCAGTTACTTTCTATGTGGAAAAGAATGTACCGACCAGCCAACACAAACAATTTGCTTCACTACATTTATGGTAAGTGGGTGTGTGGAACAAACCAACGTTTTTGTTTGTTTGTTTTGTTTTTCCAGCATTAATAGCAAGAACAATCTTTCCTAAGGATCTGACCACCTCGGGACAAACTGATAGCGTAACTTTGTAAATTGATCAATCCAAAGTCGAAGCAAGAAAACTTTTGCCTGCGGGTTTTGGAGTTCTCCAAAGCCATCATGACATCAAAGGCTACTTCAACGCACATGCACACGCATCCTTGGCCTCAAAGACTGCTTAAACGCGCACACACACATACACACACAGACACAAAGACTACTTACACACACAACCCCCAACTAAGCTCTCGTGGCATCAAAGACTTCAGCGCACACACACACACATCTCCATGGCTTCGGACTACTTACACACACGCGCACACACACACACTCTCTCTCTCGTTTTTTTTCTTTTTTTGAGGCGGAGTCTCGCTTTGTTGCCCAGGCTGGAGTGCAGTGGTGCGATCTCGGTTCACTGCAACCTCTGCCTCCGGGTTCAAGCGATTCTCCTGCCTCAGCCTCCCAAGTAGCTGGGATTACAGGCATCCGCCACCATGCCCGGCTAATTTTTTGAACTTTTAATAGAGACGGGGTTTTGCCATGTTGGCCACGCTGATCTCGAACTCCTTGACCTCAGGCGATCCACCCGCCTCTGCCTCCCAAAGTGCTGGGATTACAGGCGTGAATCACCGCTCCTGGCCTCTAGATCGGTTTTTCAAAAGTTTCAATTATTAACCTTAGAAATGTCATTAACCTAACGGGCAAAGCAAGACTCAGGTTTGAGGAATCAACACCAGATTTGCTTCTATTTTGCAATAGCTATTGATTATTAATAATACTTCCAGACACTTTTCCAACCCCGCTATTTCTCGTTCTCCTCTGCTTTGCTCCTTCTCCCGGAGGCAGCAGAATAAGTTCAGGGAGGCCCAGGATTGCCTGGGCTACGTGTGCGCCCCAACGGAGACCTAGAGGCGCGGCCGCAGGGAGTCCGGATAGAGCTCCGGGGCTCGCAAGTGGCCGCGAGCTCACGGCCACCTCACGGCCGGGGGGTCAGGGAGACCATGGAGGGCCGGGACGCCTGTTACTCACCCTCAGCTGTCGCCATTATCCTGAGTGGGCTGAGGGCTGCGACCGCGCCGGGAAGCGAGGCAGAACTCTAGAAAAGAAGGGTGGTCAGAGAGGCTCGCGGGGCGGAGAAGGAGGCAAGGCCCACAGACACGCCCCCTGGCGGGGACGCGCGACCCTGCGCCACTCTCTTCCAGCACCGCGACAATTGCAGAACCAAGAGGGGCCTAGGCGGAGAGTGGAACGTGGACCTCTGAAGAAAGAACTCCCCGGAGGCTTCCCGCCGCGCAGGCGCAGGGACACAACCCCGCCTCCGGGCCGCCCGGCGCTGGCGCAGTGCCGCGACAGGCGAAAAGTGGCGCGCACTGGCAGCCCCTCCCCACTCGGCGGAAGCTCGCAGACCCCGGCCCTTCCTCGGCTGCGGGAGCGGCTCAGAGGTTGGAGCGTACCAAGTCGTGATTGCCTTGGGGAGGCATGTGGGGAAGGGCATATGAAAGCTAAATGCTCTGAAAGAGAAATGACATTAAATCCGTTATTCCCATTACGCTAGTCTTCGCTGCTTGAAAATAACGTAGATTTCCACGTGCCACTAATACGGCTTTCCAGACAGCTCTTAGGGGAGGGCTAGCTCCACCCCTCATCATCCGGGGCACCGCCCCTCAGCCGCGGGGCCGCCTCTCCACCCTCGCCCGTTGGTGGGCTCGGAGGGGGCGTGGCAGGGCCGAGCTGGCCACACCCACCTAGGGGACAGCGCGCGCCGCCGCAGTAGCTGGGGCCAGCCTCAGGGAAGGAAGCGCCCGTCGTGAGCGCGAGCTTCTGAGCCCGACGGGCCGAGCTGGCAGCTGGTTGGTCCTTTAACCTTGGCCGCAGAGGCAGATCCCTCCACGTGCTTTCTGCGGCGACATGGAGCTAGAAGAGTTGGGGATCCGAGAGGAATGTGGCGTGTTTGGCTGCATCGCCTCAGGAGAGTGGCCCACGCAGCTGGATGTACCGCATGTGATCACTCTGGGACTCGTGGGGCTGCAGCACCGGTGAGCAACAGGGTAGGGGTGGTAGGGGCGTGCGTCTTCATCTTTTGGAACCGCTTTCCGCAGTCGGCGTTCTCGTGAGCGTCGAGGGCTGGGAGGACCTGCCTCTCCGACCTGAACTGGTAGCTGGCTGTGGCGTCGACCTGGTTGCCTAGGTGGGCACGTGGGGCGCCTCGTTTCCAGGAACTTTAGCCTGTCCTGCCCACCTTTCCAGCCTCTCATGCCCTTTAGGGGCTCTCTCCTTCCCCGCCCCCCGGTGTGTGCATCCCTCCAGAGGCTGGCCAGCTTGTAAGGCTCTGGTTTGCTTGGTCTAGCTGGGTCAGGGCTCCTTCCCCACTGCTTGTGGGTTCTAATCTCCCCGAGCCTGTGGCTGCTCCTGTAATAGGTTAGTGTGGCGTGGCGGCCGGTCCAGGGCCCACAACACCTAAAGGTTTTCGCGCGGGGCCTCCAACCACCACAAGCTTTTGTTTGCAGTGGCAGAGCTATTGAGCAGATGGATTTCAAAGTAGTTATCGCTATGGGAAATTGAGGATCCTAGACTTAAGACCCACGGAAAGATGACTAGTTGATGTTCAGAAGGACTACCGGTAGTAGATGTCAAATAAATTAAGTGAAAATAAACCAACCATAGGGAATAGTGCATCTGGAAAAGATTCATTGATAGACGTCTTACCTAATGAATGAAAACGTTGGTAATAAGATGACAAAAAGTAACTCCCTTCTTCAAAAGGGGAGTAGTGTCTCTGACAAGATTCATACACTTGATTTTGAAAAATTGGGAGATCCCTTCGAGTTAAAAAAAAGAGTTTGCTCGGGGATCTTTCCTTTTCTTACTACCTGACTTAACTGGAAGTTGATATAAATTATTAATCTAGGGTAAGAGACACAAACCTGGGTTTGATATCTCACTGAAAGGTAATACGGTAATAACAACATCTAGTACAGTTAAGGAACTTGGCAATAACACTTAACAGCAAAATGGGTGCAACATGTATTAATGCATTCCAAATGATTAGCTTTCCCTCAACCAAACTCAAATTTGAAGTACTTTTTGCTGTTTTCCTTGTCCCAAATACTTGAATTTCAGTTACACATTGTATGTTTACTGTAGAACTGAGAATGTAGGATGAATCAAAAAGAATATTTTTTAACTTGCATAACTCCAATCTTGGATAATTATGGGTTGACCATAATAGATTTCTTTAAAAAAAAAAAAAAAACCAGCCGGGCGCGGTGGCTCAAGCCTATAATCCCAGCACTTTGGGAGGCTGAGGCAGGTGGATCACGAGGTCAAGAGATCGAGACCATCCTGGTCAACATGGTGAAACCCTGTCTCTACTAAAAATGCAAAAAAAAAATTAGTTGGGCACGGTGGCGTGTGCCTGTAATCCCAGCTACTCAGGAGGCTGAGGCAGGAGAATTGCCTGAACCCAGGAGGCAGAGGTTGCGGTGAGCCGAGGTCGCGCCATTGCACTCCAGCCTGGGTAACAAGAGCGAAACTACATCTCAAAACAAACAAACAAACAAACAAAAAAAACCCCACATACAATGAAAGGATTAGTTACATAATCCAAGGAGAAAGTAAACTCTTGATTATGTGGTAGTTCTGAGCCACATTAGTTTGTAACATTCTTAGAAGTTACCGCCTGTGCCTGTGGCGGTGGCTCACGCCTGTAAACCCAGCACTTTGGGAGGTTAAGGCAGACGGATCATGAGGTCAAGAGATCAAGACCATCCTCACCAACATGGTGAAACCCCATCTCTACTAAAAATATGAAAATTAGCTGGTAGTGTTTTTGGATACTCTGTCATGGAAGTGGGGGAGAATCTAGAGGTCTTTAGGGTTGCTTGGTGGTCTATAGAAAATATATATGAACTGTTCTCCACTATATTTACTTTTTTGCCAAAGTTATACAGGAAGTTTTCATCCCCCTTTCTTCTCCCTTTTAAATGTGTGCTTGAAGAAAACGAGGCTTTTTTTGTTTTTAAGACCAAGTCTTGCTCTGTTGCCCAGGCTGGAGTGCAGTGGTGGCAATCTTGGCTCACCGCAACCTCTGCCTCCTGGGTTCAAGTGGTTGTCCTGCCTCAGCCTCCCGACTAGCTGGCATTACAGGCACTCACCACCACGCTTGGCTAATTTTTGTATTTTTAGTAGAGACAGAGTTTCATCATGTCAGGCTGGTCTTGAACTGCTGACCTCGTGATCCTCCTGCCTGGGCTTCCCAAAGTGCTGGGATTACAGGCATGAGCTACCATGCCGGGTTGGGTTTTTTTTTTAATGAATACAATTTGATTCCTGGTTACCTGTATCTGTTTTCTATAGTTGCTTTTCTGTGAAAGAATTACAAGATTAAATAATACCAGATAAGGACAATAATGATGTGATTATGTGGTTTTGAGGAACAAATGTATTACTGAAAAACAATTTAAAGTTTTTCTTGTTTAGGCATAGAATGTTTAAGGTGTGCAAAGAGGGCTAGTTCTCACCCATAATCCAATTCAGTTCAAAATTTTACATGAGCTAAAGTGTCATCCTTTGGGAAGACTGATTCTGATTGGAAGAACAATGAAACTCCCTTTTATGTTTTGGAAACACAATTATCTGCTGCTCTAAACTGATGGATAAGGGCCAGAACAAAACTAAGAACTAACCTTTTTTTTCTTTTTTTGAGACAGGATCTTGCTCTGTCACCCAGGCTGGAGTCCAGTGGTACCACCTTGGCTCACTGCAACCTCCTGGGTTCAAGCTATTCTTGTGCCTCAGTCTCCTGAGTAGCTGGAATTAGAGGCATGCATCACCATGCCTGGCTAATAGTTTTAGTAGAGACTGGGTTTTGCTTTGTTGGCCAGGCTGGTCTCTAACTGCTGGCCTCAAGTCATCCTCGCACCTAGGCCTCCTGAAGTGCTGGGATTACAGGCATGAGCCATGGCACCCCACCAGAACTAACATTTTTGTATGTCATTGAATCTAGGAACGTCAAAACTGGAGCCTAGTTAGGTTGTCATAGCTTAATAGTAGTTTAGTTACATATATATACATATGTGTATACGTATACACATATATACACATATGTGTATACGTATACACATATATATACGTGTATCTATATATTATCCATATCTATATCTATATCTATATCTATATCTATATCTATATCTATATATATATGTAGTATACCCTGAGAAGTCGTGGTCTGTTGCAGAAAGCTGTTTCCACTTTCTCACCCTCATTCACTCACTGGTTAGTTTTAAAACAACTGCAAAAGGAATTTATTTCTTATATATTATCTTTTTTTTTTCTTTTTGAGACAGGGTCTCACTTTGTCACCTAGGCTGGAGTGCAGTGGCACGATCTCGGCTCACTGCAACCTCCAATTCCCAGGTTCAAGTGATTCTCGTGCCTCAGCCTTCCGAGTAGCTGGGATTACAGGCACCTGCTGCCACACTTGGCTAATTTTTGTATTTTTAGTAGAGATGGGGTTTCACCATCTTGACTAGGCTGGTCTCGAACTCCTGGCCTAAGTGATCCACCCCCCTCGGCCTCCTAAAGTGCTAGGATTACAGCCATGAGCCACCATGCCTGGGCAACTTTATCTTTATTTATTTATTTATTTTTGAGACGGAGTTTCGCTCTTGTTACCCAGGCTGGAGTGCAATGGTGTGATCTCGGCTCACCGCAACCTCCGCCTCCTGGGTTCAGGCAATTCTCCTGCCTCAGCCTCCTAAATAGCTGGGATTACAGGCATGCACCGCCATGCTCAGCTAATTTTTTGTATTTTTAGTAGAGACAGGGTTTCACCATGTTGACCAGGATGGTCTCGATCTCTTGACCTCGTGATCCACCCGCCTCGGCCTCCCAAAGTGCTGGGATTACAGGCTTGAGCCACCATGCCCGGCCAACTTTATCTTTAAGAAGATGGAATCTAGAAGGTGAGATTTATACCATTTTTGCTTTGTATTTGGTTTAGTTTTTTGTCTTGGGCATAATCTAATCTAATATATTTTGTCCTGGAGTTAACAGAATACCTGGAAGGTATATTAGCTATTTCATATAAAAATAGAGTATCAGTTAGTAAACAGCCATGCACTGGATATTTCACCGAGATGGGTTCATCCAGATGTACAACCCCTTTTTAGTAATTCTGGCTATCTTCAGAGTTATTCCGTAGCTTTGCTTTCTGAAGGGGAATTTTCAAATGTCCTTTTGGCTATAAACTGTGCATACATGTGTTGTGGGTATGTTCATGCCAGATTCATATAATCACATGCTGTTTTGGTACTGAAAACATCATCTCAGTAGTTTGCAGAGTTCTGAACAAACCAGACATCCCTTCTTAGAGTAAACATATTCATCTTTAAAACACAGTCACATTTTATAGAGACCTGAATGGCCTGGACATATTTGAAGATTCCTTAGATTTATCCCATGAATCAGCTAGTTAGCCTTTCCTTGATTCATTGTGAGATAAGCATACTCTTCCCTTCAGTGAATTATCACTTCTCTGGGTTAGGATTTGAACCTTACAATGACAAACATTTTCATACTACTTCTAAAAATTTATAAGATTTACCTGATGAAGTTGAGTTTCCTCTCTGCAGAAACATTCTGTAGAATCTTTTGGTTCTGTTATTATGCTTTGAGGAAACTGATTCGTAATGATCTCAGGCGCACTTTTCTTAAGAGGTAGAGACACTGTTTCTGCAAACAAGTACAGAACATTACCACTAGAAAGGCACTTGTGAGAATGAGAGATGCACTCAGTCAAACGTCTGTGGGCCTAGTTCCCAGTTAATCTTCATTTAGTTTTGTAGAGAACACAGGATTTGATTGCCAGAGAACTTATTTTGGGCTGCCAAATTAAGGCAGGGGATATCTTATCTTAATTTTGATTTTCATGTTTGATTGAAAATGACCAAATATGTAACATTGCTGTAGTGTTTTACTTTTACACTCCCTTAATCTATAACCTGTATCTAATCAAGTAAAGTAATTTTTGGTTTGAGGAAGTGACTTATTTAAAAAGTGTCCTTTCAAATTGTTCCAGTCTTTGATTTTGAGAGAATTCTAATTATTTTATAATTCAGTGATTCTTGATTTAAAATAAGTGTTTTCGATGCTTCCATTTATAACTACTTTTTTAGAACTGTGCTTTTTGCATTAGTCTGAAGCAGAATTTACCTGCCCCCAAAAGTCTCCAAGTACCACTGCTTGGTCATTCTGGTCAATATTGGAAAGAGCTCCTTAACATACAACCTGAAATCTAGCCCCAGGTTTTCCAGTAACACCAGTTTAATCTTGGGCAGGTCTCCTAACTTCAGAGTCTGTTTCCTCATTTGTTGGTCTAGATTTGTGTATTGTAAGGGCTAATGCTCAAATTCAGTGGGCTCAGAATGATACTTTTGTGCGGTTAACCCTTAGCTGCTTCTCATTTCAGGAAAACTGCTAAGGGTTAATCGCACAAGAGTTTTATCTGACTTGCATTTATATCCAGGAGTGGAAAAATACACTTTTCAGTTCACTTGAGATTACAGGTTATAAGGGGAAGAGGAATTTGTTGAACTCCTATAATGTACATCTAAGGCACTGTGGTAGATACTGGAAATACTGTACCATACAGGGCAGATGTGGTTCCTGCCCTCGCAGAGAGGCCTCATTGGTTCAAGAGCACAGACTTCTCTATGTCTCAGTTTCCTCATCTGTAAATTGGGTATAATGATAGCACCTATGTTATAGGGTTGTGGCTGGGACTAAATATGTTAATATATGTAAAGTGCTTAGAACAGTGCCCGGATATATGTATATCCTATGACCCTGCCTTCCACTTCTGAGTATTATACTCAACAGAAATGCATACATATGTCCATTGAGAGGCATGCAATTATTCATAAAAACTCCAATCTGGAAACAACTGGAATGTCCAACAGTGAAATAGATTTGAAAAAGTTATGGGATGTACGTTTATTTATTTATTAATTAAATATTGAGATGGGGGTCTCACCATGTTGCCCAGACTGGTCTTGAACTCGTGGGTTCAAGTGATCCTCCTGCCTCAGCCTCCCAAAGTGCTGGGATTATAGACCTGAACCATTGACTGCACCTGGCTGGGATGTATATTTTTACAATGGATTATTCTACAGCAATTAAAAAAAAAAACAGACTGAGTAAAATTATGGGTAAATCTCATAAACAATGTTGAATGAAAGAAAAGTATATACTGTATGAATCCCAAACTAATCTATGGTGATAGAAGTGAAAATAGTGATAATGTTTACTGGGGCTGGAAGATGATTAATGTCTGGGAGGCTTTTAGGGTGCTAGTAAGTTTTATGTCCTGAGTGGTGGGTTTGGGGTGTTTACTTTGTAAAATTTTGTTTTACTCTTCAATTTTTTTGTGTTTACTAAAAAACAATTTCATAAATTATAAATCTATAAAACACTAAAGCTGGATTATTTTAGAGATCCAGAGAAATGCAGTGATTAGCCCTGTGTGAGCTAATCAAAGAGAGACTGGAACTCAGGTTTTCCTATTATCAGTATTGTGAGCATTTTCTTTCTTCTACATGGTATATTGCATTATATTATCTTTCTGATGTCTGTGGTGGGTTCGTTTGGAATTACAGCTCCCATTATTAGGTTGGCTTCTGAGTTTGACTTACTTTCAGACTTATTAAAATGTCATATTCATTATTGACTACCTTTGGGGAACTGTGGATTTTTTTCTTATTACATCTGTTAACAATGATTGTAACAATCACTGCAAAGTACAATTTAAAGAACCACAGTAACTGAATAGTTAATCTAACTCTGGGCAAGTTTTCATTTGCTTGCAGTGTTACTCTCACTCTTTTTCTTCCTTCTTCTTTTAAAACATAAAATCTAGCTCCTGCAGAAACTTTCACTCAATGAGCTATGAAAGAAATTATTTCTCAGCATTCTCTGCTCTAATACAGTTCATACACGATATATTTAGTCTAACTTATCAAGGACAAGAATAAATATCTCTGTTATCATGAAAAAGCAACAAGTTTTTCACTGTGTGGGAGAATTTGGCATTTCTCAGGTTCTTACCATTTTCATGCGCTTTTCTCTTGGAGCTCAAAGTTCCTTGGCTTTTGTTATGACCTTCAAATAATTCTTAAATAAAAACACAGGAAAAGAATCATTATATGACATCATCTGAAATACATTAGTTTTCAAGCGTTCAAGTATGCTAAAATAAGAACACTGAAGCAGTTGGACAGATAAAGAATGAGTTAAGAATTAAGAATATTTTGGTACAAGATTTAGAAAAAAGTTGAAACTTGGCTTAAATTAATAGGTACCTATTTCTAATGATTTAAATTAATAGGTACCTATTTCTAATGATTTTTAAGGGTCATTTGAGCATATGATAGTGTTAGGATTTTATTTTTAAAGAGTTTTTCTCTTGCTAAATGAAAATGCAAAGAGGAATATCTGGAATTTTTTTTTTGTTTATGTCAATTCCAAGGTTACCATGTTTCCAACTGGCAGTTCTGAGAGTTGGTTGTCTTAGGATGCATTCAACTTCTTCATAAAATCTCATTTTTCTTTGAGGGTTGCCATTCTTTCTTTGTAAAATGCTATATTCATATTTTAAATTTTTATATTTGGTACAACATTGTTTCCGGTCTCTGTCTATCCCAAACTGTATTCATCTTCTGGCAATTTCCTCAAATATTTTCTTGTTTCTTTTGGCCCCTTCAAGCATTCGCTTAATTTTTTCATCAGACCATATTTGTATCAATGCTCTGAACCTCATTGTCACACCAGTATTTTCCAGCCTCTGTGTCACTCACTGTTATAATCTGTAAATGACTCTTAGCATCTTCTAAAGGATTACCTACAAATCAACATGATCTATAATTATTCAAACATAGATAAATCTTGGATTTGAATATCATTCACTTAAAGCAACTCGAATGGCATAAAGAACCAAGAGTAACATAAGCAAACAATAACTCCAGTATGAGTCAAAAGAAATTTTGTGTGCATATTTAAACAGTATATTCTAAAAATTATTAGACTGTTCCCCATTATTAGTGAGAATAATTGAGCTGCTTTTCATCATAGGTGATCTTCATTGGATATTTATGAATATGGAGGGTCTCAATGTTTACTTAATTTCTTTTAGTGAGAAGTGGGTATAGACATTTTCTTTCTTACTTTACCATATTCTCTACCAACTCAGGTATAAGGAAGCATTTTTAGGTAATACACAATAGAGATCTTCTTTATAACTACTTAAAATGGTATATACTAGACTTCACATATCAAAATGACATTTAAAATTTGCCAATTTAGACCCTGCACTGGACCCAGTGTTATTTTGGGGTGCAGTGGGGCTGTCCACCACTTCCGAGGCAATACATAAAAAGTCTTTCTCTGACAGAAAATAAGCACACTAGCAGTTTAAGTTTGATGTTAACAAAACTATAATCTACTTTTGCAATTGGAGATTATGCTGAAAAAGCAGTAGGGCTGGATTCCAGCATGAAAGCTGTAACCTTAAAGCCTAGAACCTTTGCTATCTTTAAACATATTTAAAAATGACCTTAACCGGGTTGTGCTGGCATGTGTCTCTAGTCTGCTTCTCAGAGGCTGTGGCAGGAGGATCATTTGAGTCCAGAAGACTGAGGCTGTGAGCTCTTATTACACCACTGCGTTCCGGCCTTGGTGACAGAGCCAGACCCTGTCTGAATGAATGAATGGCACTGTAGGTTTATCTCCTTAAAAATCTTAGAGTATCCTGTTTTGACATCACAAGGAAGTATGCTGCACTTGGGAGTATGATGGCACTTTTAGACCCAGTTTGGTAACATTTGTTTATTGTGACACTTTAATGCTTGACTAAAAGCTCTTATGTCAGTTCTCATATGTAACTAAGAATGATCCTTATTGCAATACATATAAAGAAATAGGCCGGGCGCGGTGGCTCACGCCTATAATCCCAGCACTTTGGGAGGCCGAGGCGGGCGGATCACGAGGTCAAGAGATCGAAGACCATCCTGGTCAACAAGGTGAAACCCCATCTCTACTAAAAATACAAAAAATTAGCTGGGCATGGTGGTGCGCACCTGTAGTCCCAGCTACTTGGGAGGCTGAGGCAGGAGAATTGCCTGAACCCAGGAGGTGGAGGTTGCAGTGAGCCGAGATTGTGCCAGCCATTGCACTCCAGTCTGGGTAACAACAGTGAGACTCCGTCTCAAAAAAAAAAAAAAGAAATAAAAGACTTAAGATTTACTGTTCTTGGCAGTTTTCACATTGAGACATTAGTGGAAGAGTTTGACCAGGTCAAGTAAGACAACCAGACAGGAATATAAACAGCTAGTGGAACTTAGATGCTTAGCCCAATAAATATAATTTATTTTGGTATACCCGTATATGTATAGGATGCTAACAAGTGAACTGGGGGAAACTCCACAGCAAATGTTGATTATGTTGGATTTCTGAGCGGAAGCCTATTTAATGTGTGATATAGTACTCATCCTAGCTGTACTTTCCTATATACTGGGACATTATTATTATCATTTAAAAATACTCTATGGCCTGTGGGAAAACTTAAATTTAAAAATTCTTTACATATAAAAGATCAGAAGAAGCGAAAGAAAACTTACTCTGGGATACCTTATGAAAACTACAACCAGTAAGTGGGCATGGCAACTGATGATGTACAGCAGGGGGAGGTCTACTCCACAAAGCTTTCCAACAGTCAGTTATTCTCATCTTAAATTCTACTAGGTTTCAATTCTGAGTAATTTTTCAGGCCTTATGGAATTTTTTTTCTTTTTAAGAGATAGGCCCTCACTATGTTGCCAAGGCTGGCCTGGACCTCTTGGCCTCGAGATCCTCCTGCCTCAGCCTCCCAAATAGCTGGGACTACTCCAAATAGCTGGTGCACACCCCCATGCCTAGTGCCTCATGGAAATTTAAAAATGAGTTCAAGTCACTCTTGTTGGATATAATTTTTAAAAGATGGTGATAGAAATGTAAAATGGTAAGTCATGGTGGAAAACAGGTAGTTCCTGAGAAAGTTTAAGCGTATGCCGTATGACAAGGCATTTCCACTCCTACATATAAACCCAGGAGAATTGAAAACATGTTCACCTAAAAACATGTACCTGCTGTGGAAAAACAGTATGGCTGGTCCTGAAAAAATTAAACACAAATTACCATATGATCTGTAATTTCACTTCTGGGTATATATCCAAAATAATTGAAAGCAGGGACTCAAGCAGATATTAATACACCTACATTCATAGCAGCACTATTCATAATAGCCAAAGGCAGAAACAACCCAGATGACCACCAGTGGATGAATAGATAAACAAAATGGTGTATCCATACAATGAAATATTATTTAGCCTTAAAAAGGAAGGAAATTCTAATAAATGCTACAACATGGAGGAACCTTGAAGATAAGTGAAATAAACCAGACACAAATGGACAAATATTGTATGATTCCACTTACATTGGGTACCTAGAATAGTCAAATTTACAGAGACAGAAAGCAGAATAGTGGTTACCACTAGCTAAGGAGAGTTGGGATAGGGGAGTTATTGTTTAACAGCTACAGAAGTTTCAGTTTGGAACGATGAAAAAGTTCTGGAGATGGAGAGGGGTGATGTTTGCACAACAATGTGAATGTACTTATGGGTATAATGGTAAATTTTATGTATATTTTACCAAAATGGAAAAATAATCATACCAGAATGTTTATAGCAACAGTATTCATAAGAAGAGCCAGAAAATGGCAGCAACTCAAATATCTGTCACCTGGTGAATGGGAAAACAAAATAAAGTATATTCATAAAGTGGAATATTATTCAGCCATAAAAAGGAATGGAATATTGATATATGCTACAACATGGATGGAGTATGAAACAAAAGAAGACAGATATAAAAAGCTGTATATTGGAGGGTACAACTTATGTCCAGAATAGGCAAATCCATAGAAACAGAAAGGAGGTTCATGGTTGCCCGGGTTTACTGAGGTGTGGACAAGCAGTTAAACTACTAATGAATATGGGGTTTCTTTGTGGGGTAATCAGAATGTTCTAAAAGGATACCGGTGATTATTGTATAACTGTGAATATACGAAAAACCACAGGGTTATATGCTTTAATTGGGTGAATTTGATTTTATGTAAATTACATATCAAAAAAGAAGAGTTTGAGAATAGAAAAGTAAAGACAGGTCAAGTGTACAGATTAATGCAATGATGACTTTGGGAAGTTATAGGGGAACTAAGGAAGTGTGAACTGCATTGCACCGAGCTTCCAAATCTTCCTCCGAGCCAGAGTTTTTATGATATGATTAAGTCAACCTCCAGCCTCACTCTCCTCCGTGGAGGTCCCACTGGCACAAAGCTCCAACCCTCATCACATGGTTGGTCTTCAGTGACTAGCCTCCATCCTGAAGCTATCTGGGAACCCATCTAGAGTAGCCTCATTAACATAACAAAGATGCTATGTCTCTGGAAATTCCAAGGTTGTTGATGCTTTGTGCCTGGAACAGGAGACCAAAACTAGATATATTCTTTATTATGCACAGCTTCTTAAAAGTTTATTAAATATTATCAACAGTACAAATTAGAAAAATCATGCCTTCATAATTAACAAGTTGCCTCTATTTAAGTTTAGCAGCACACCTATGTCTGAGCTTTCTTTTTTCACATTTATAAGTCTTGGGTTTTCTGAAGTTTTAGAAATCAGTTGTTCTCTATCTGGGTCTACTATTAGATTAAAATGAAAAGTAGTTCTCAGTAATATTGTGTCTCATATGATTAAAGTACATTAATTTATGTAACAATTTTCCTGCTAAGATTATACAAATTATAATAAATATATAAAAGTATTTAAATAGTCCATGTTTAAGGAAAATTATTTCCAATTTCTTTCTTTTGGAAGAGATAAATGAAGTCGAAGAAAACTAATTCTTGGCATACCCTTTGAGATGATAACAATAGATTCCTTAATGCCCCCTGCTGGCCATCTCATTGTGAATTTTTTGAATTATGGAAATAGTAAAGATTTTAATTTTGAAAATATGTTTTACTACAACCAAAAGAAAAATGGGCATTTTTAGGGTTATTCTTAGGTAAACATTGAGGTATTTCACTTGTGATTTTTAGGCTCAAGATCAGTGTGACCTCCTCTAATAGGATATACTTTACTACCATGGAATTTCTGTGCTTATTTTAGTGCGCCTGGTTCCACTCCTCTGACCTAAAATGGTTTAACTGTGACTGTCCTATAATAGAAAGCAGTGGCTTGCAAGAATGCACAGATAAAGAGGCATTCCAACTCATATAAATGGCAGTGATATTGGAGATGAATTAAGTCAATTTTGTTTCTCCGACTCAGAAGAGACAGGTAGGTGAAAAGATTGTCAAACCCAAATTTTCTCTTTTGGCAGAGTCCTTTCTCCTTTGATAACTTCTTGATTCCTTTTTTTTTTTTTTTAATTCTCCTGGCAACTTTCTTTTAATCTTGATTCCTTTTATCCTCTCTTGCTTGTGCCTCACAGACTGGAGAGGAAAATCAATTATGTATTAGATCCAAAGAACTAGTTAATTTAATTTTCTTGGGCCATTTTGTTTTACTTAATGTAGTAGGAATAGTCTGAAGAGTGATTCTTCTCCGTGATTAATTTCCTTCATATTCCATTAGTCATTAATTTTTAAGTGATAATTTATTGGCATTAGCAATTTCTTTTTTCCTGAATGGAATCAAATTGAAACTTCTGTGTTAATCAGACCTCTCCTGGTCTGAGCATGAGAGAACCTAGCTACGGTTTCCAGTGCTTGAGAATCGTTGAAAAGTACGGATACCTGAACTGACACCAACCTATTGGATCAAAATCTCCAGAAGCTCCAAGTTGGGAACCGATCTAGATATTCAGAATCCCAGGGGTCTACAGCTCTAGCTGGATTTTCATTTGAAGAAAGGAGTAGCTTATGGCTTATAGCATACATTTAAGATAGCAAAGAGAATACTTTTGGGGGACCAGATTTTTGGCCAGATGTCGAAGTTAACAATATGGAGCTATCATTAATAATAGCAACTCCAGTTTCAAAATTTCATCAGTGAAATAAATGAAAATGAAGTGATTTCTGTTTTTACATGTAAATACATGTTGTTGTTTTAAAGAAAGAGTGTTTCATGTAAATACATGTTGCTGTTTTAAAGAAAGTCTATTTCATGTGAATTTTTTTACCTGAGGATAAATAATCCATAGTTTTATACCTCAATACTACATTCTACATTCTTCCTAATAGGGGAGTGGCAATTTGTGAATCAATCAGTATCTATTGCAGGTGTACCTAAAATCCTTGCCTGTTGAAGTTTTTTTTCCTATATATTTAGCTGCTGAGATCCTTGTGGATTTTTATCTTTGCTTTGTATTTTCATGTGACCGTTTAATATAATTTCTAGAATAACTGTATTTGTCCTGTTTCATATTTTCTAAATATATTCCAAATATTTCATATTTGGCATGTTTACAAAAAAGAAAAACCCTTGTACTTCTGACTTAATCTTTTCCTTTTACATATAAAAAATTATCAACTGGGCGCAGTGGCTCGTGCCTGTAATCCCAGCACTTTGGGAAGCTGAGGAGGGCGGATCATGAGATTAGGAGATCGAGATCATCCTGGCCACCATGGTGAAACCCTGTCTCTACTAAAAATACAAAAAATTAGCTGGGCGTGGTGGCGCACGCCTGTAGTCCCAGCTACTCCGGAGGCTGAGGCAGGAGAATTGCTTGAACCCAGGAGACAGAGATCACGCCACTGCACTACATCGTAGGCGACAGTGTGAGACTCTGTCTCAAAAAGAAAAAAAATTATCTTGATGTTGTATTTCAGTTTCCAGAGGACTAACAAGCTAAAATCTTAATACTAAAGCTCATAACTTTTTAAATCTTTTTTCTTATTAAACAGTGTAGTAATATGATTTTCTTCCTGTTTTAAATTTTATTTTTAGTAATCTGATTTTCTTCCTATTTTAAATTTTATTTTCTTCCTATTTTGAATTTTATTTTTATGGGTTAAAAAAAAATAGAGACGGTTTGCCCAGGCTGGATTCAAACTCCTGGGCTCAAGTGATGCTTCAATCTTAGCATCCCACGAAGCTGGAATTACACAGGCAAGCACCACTCACCTGGTATAATTAGATTTTTAACTCTTAATGACAAAAGCCATTGCTGTGAAACTAAAGAATCTGTCCTATCTGGTAAATCAAACAAATAGGTTTGCCAGGAGTATAGGAAAATTTTATTAACTGGTTTGTTAAATTAACATTGAGCTTTACTCTTTGTAAGGTTATGTGAAGCTTTGGACTGAAAGGCTAGGTACAGGTCTTTTTAACAGATAAACTTCAGCTTGGAGGCTTGGTGATCTCCTCCCCAATGTGGGTTTGTGTAGAAGACATAACTATCAGCAGGCACACAATCTCACCTCCACACCCTTAGTGCCTTATACCAGAGGGTAATGGTTCTCAAACTTGCTTGCATCATTATCACCTGGAAGACTTGTTAAAACAGATTGCTAGGCCCCAACACCAGAGTTTCTGATTCTGGATGGGGCCCAATAATTTGCCTTTTAAATAGGTTCTCAGTTAATGCTGATGCTGCTACACTTGGAGAAAAACAGCCATGGGGAACATTACTTCCATTAATTATTTTCGTCTTCCATTTATGTGTTTTGAGTTGTGATGCAACAGTAATTCATACAATGTTATAACACAATTTCTTAGGTATAGTAGCATCTATTAACATATAGATATGAAATCTAAAACCCACCATGAGGCACCACTCTCATGACCTCATTGATGGAAAGCTAGTTATCCTTCAAAGGCCCTGTCTCCCAGTATATCGCATTGGGGGTCAAGGCTTCAACACATGAATATTGGTGGGAGGAACACAGCTCAGGCCATAGCAGTGTCTGTTTTATAATAGCATTTTATGTATCTATTTTGTCACACACAAAAACAAAACAAACAAAAACCAAATAAAAATCAGAATATTTTTTTACCTGTGTCAGGACTTTGTTTTGTATCTGTATCTTCTATGTCTTCTGACTTATTACTGACTGAATCACCTTCAGCTACGTCTCCAGCAATAGCTGTATGAACATAAGGGGAGATATATATAGGCTTTTTAAATTTACTTCAGAATCGTGTTTTATTTATTTAGATTATTTATTTGTTTGTTTTTGAGGCAGAGTTGCCCAGTTACACTCTGTTGCCCAGGCTGCAGTGCAGTGGTGCCATCTCAGCTTACTGCAGCCTCTGCCTCCCAGGTTCCAGGGATTCTCATGCCTCAGCCTTCGGAGTAGCTGGGATTACAGGCATGCGCCACCACATCTAGCTAATTTTTTGTGTGTATTTTTTAGTAGAGATGGGGTTTTGCCATGTTGACCAGGCTGGTCTCCAGCTCCTGGCCTCAAGTGATCCACCCACCTTGGCTTTTATAGGCATGAGCCACAGCACCTGGCCCGGAATCATGCTTTAAATCCTAATGTAGTATTTTCCTTTTTAAAGGGACCCTGATACTAAATATTTGCTTTTCCATAGGTTAGATTCCCTACCCTTAAGCATCTTTTTGTCACTGTAAATATTGGGTATGTATCTAGTCTCTAACCAGATCCTCTGACATAACTAATGGAATCATCTTTAGCTGCATCTCCAGCAATGACTGTATGAAGATACCATGCCCCCGCTGTTGGGGTGCTTTATCTGTAGTCATCTTACTAGCGGAAATGTATAGTTCTCTAGCATACCAGTTTCTTTCTTGCCCACCAGTGAAATATTTTGAAATTTCTCACCAGCATATCCATTCTCAACTGTCTATTCCCTGGAAACACACTCTCATCATATAAGCCAGATAATAGAATCTGGAGACACTGTGGTTAGTAGAGGTCTTTAAGACCATCTTGGTCACTCCTTCCCATTTTGGAGTTTGGTCTAGAACAGCCATCTCCAGTGTTTTTTGGCACCAGGGACTGGTTTCATGGAAGACAGTTTTTCCATGGACCAGGGAGTGCAGGGGCTGTGGTTTGGGTATGATTCAAATGCATTACATTTATTGTGCACTTTATTTCTATTATGCCACTATATAATAAAATAATTATATAACTCTCTATAATCTAGAATCAATGGGAGCCCTGAGCTTGTTTTCCTAAAACTAGATGGTCTCATCTGGGAGTGATGGGAGGCAGTGACAGATCATCAGGCATTAGATTCTCATAAGGAGCAGAGAACCTAGATCCCTCTCTTGCACAGTTCACAGCAGTCTTCGCTTCTCCAGTGTTCTAATCTAAAGTGATAATCTAATGTTGCTGTTGATCCGACAGGAGGCAACACTCAAGTTGTAATATGCATGATGGGGAGTATCTATAAATACAGATGAAGTTCGCCCACCACTCACTTCTGGCTGTGCAGCCCAGTTCGTAACAGGCCACGGACCGGTATCAATCCAGGTGTTGGGGACCCCTGGTCTAGAGGAGACATTTGGTTACTTGAGGTTCCACAGAGCCTTAGAACTTTGATTTCCTGAATCCTGGTCTAGAACTTGTTCAGTTTATTTCATGCTGTCATGTCTTTGTATGTATGTACTGTATCTCAATCCTTTGGTTTAAATATATTTTAAAGACATTTATGATGGGTCCCAGAGAAACTTACTACTTCTAAGAAAGTCTCATGTATTTTATACTTTTCTAAGTTCTTCAGTACTGTTTTTCTATTCTACTCAGTTTTACCACAATTAGTATGAAAATTTATTTTAACTTCTGCCATCTGGGGTTGCATATATGCTTTATTAAAATTGATCTATTTTAAACTTTATTTTGGGAATCCAGTTTTATTTTCTCCTTTTAGTATAACTATACTGTTTCTGTTCTGGGGGAGATCAAATATATACTAAATCTGTTTCATAGTAAATTCAGCTAGCTTGTCAAATAGAATGTAATGAAACCTATATAACTTACATATATAATATTCTTATGCTACTGAACATTCTCAATACAGGTTGAGCATCTCTAATCTGAAATCTGAAATGCTATAAAATCTGAAATGTTTTGAGCACCAACATGATGCCACATGTGGAAAATCATACACTTGACCTCATGTGATGGGTACAGTCCAAACTTTGTTTCATGCACAAAATTTTTTAAAATACTGCATATCATTAGCGTCAAGCTGTATATATGAAACACATGAATTTCATGTTTGGACTTGAGTGTCCTTTCTAAGATACCTCACTACGTATATGTAAATATTCTAAAATCAGAAAAAATTCTAAATCTAAAACACTTCTGATCCCAGGCATTTTGGAAAAGGGATCCTTGAACCTGTATGATGTAACATGATGTTAAGATGACTTTTCTTCACCTTCCTACCTGTCTGGTCCTTTCCCATTTTTATGTTGGCACATTCTGTGACAGGTTCTCCATCTTGGGATGCCTGGTCTCGTGATTTTTCTGTTTTATTGTGTCCCAGAATGGCATCCAACTCAGTAAAAAATTTCATACTCTTAGTCATGCCTAGGTCTTGTGCTGTTCTTACGATCTTGTATTCGTGTTTTAGGTTTTTGTACTTTGTTCTGCATTGCTTCCAGTCTCTCTCTATTCCAAATTTCTGAAGCTTGGCAGCAATTTGTTCAAATATCCTTTTATTTCTCACTGTTCCCTCTAGTTGTCGTTGTATGCTTTTATCAGACCAGACGTCTATTAGAGCCCTGACTTCTGGCACAGTCCAGTGCTTTCCTCCTTCATTTGCTACAGTTGGGATAAAAGTTGTGTTATTAGAGGGTTCCAATACTGACGTAGAGATACCTGCATTAGGTGGAGAGGTAAAAGAAATACGTATTATATACATCAGCAAGGTAAATAATTGGATGCAACATTATTAAAGAAAGCAATTTCCTCCATAGGAGATGGAGTAACAAATCATAGCTTAGCTTTTCTCTTAAACAGTGGGGAAACAAAATACAGAACCTAAACCTATTCATTATTATGCCAGTTACTGGCTTTAATAAAGTTGTGTTTTTTTAGTCAGATTTTGATCATCTTTCCTCCGTACCATTTCTTTCTCTTCCATACCACTCCTTTAGTATGTAGGGTGTATATCAGTATATAGTGAACGTTCAGTATATAAATGTGTAGCATTTACTGTAGAAAGCAATCATTACATAAGAAAATGGCTCATTGTATATAATTTGTTTTGAAGTAGGACTGGTACAAACAATTTAACTCCTTCCTTTTTTCTTTATCTTATGATTTCCTTTGGCTATATATCAGTCTACTGGGAATCATTTAAAAACCACCACTCTAGTACCTGCCTCATCTCTCATCCCCAGATAGCGAATCTAATGTATAGTGAGAGTTGAGAACTGAGGCTGCTCATGAGTTGAGTCACACAGAACAGTGTGACTCTGTTCTTCAGTGCTTATGTCTTAGAAAATTACAGAAACTAAAGCCATTTTAAATGAAGTATGTTCTTTTAATGGTAGGGGAATATGTCAGAAATTTCATAATGCCTTGCTCCTACGCAGTATGTCTCCACTTAGTTATAAATCCTTTAATATGCCATGCTGCGTATTAGGTTTCTAGCACAGTTTTACACTTCATTTACATTACTGACAGTACTTGACATTATATTGTAGACGTTTTGAACAACCATATTATCTTGCGTTTTTCTCAGATTTCATGTTCATAAGATAAGTAGGTTCATTTTTTGAATTATAAAATTACAAGCACATTAACTTTTTTTTTTTTTTTGAGACAGGGTTTGAAATTGGATGCAATATTATTAAAGAAAGGAATTTTTGGTTGGGCCTGGTGGCTTAGGCCTGTAATCCCAGCACTTTTGGAGGCCAAGGCAGGTGGATTGCCTGAGCTCAGGAGTTGGAGACCATCCTAGGCAACAGGGCGAAACCCGTCTCTACAAAAAATGCAAAAATTAGCCATTCAGGAGGCTGAGGTGGGAGGATTGCTGGAGCCCAGGAGGTGGAGGTTGCAGTGGGCCGAGAATATGCCACTACACTCCAACTGGGGCGAAAGAGTGAGACTGTGTCTCAAAATAAGATAAAATAAAATAAATTTTAAAAAAAAAGAAAGTAATTTTTTTTCACCAAGGCTAGAGTGTAGTGGTGAGAACACAGCTCATTGCAGCCTGAACCTCCCAGGCTCAGGTGAGCTTCCAGAGTAGCTGGGACCACAGGCACACTGTGGTCATCCCTAACATTAACATTTTGTTTACATTTAAAATAATCTTCAAGATTAATCATAATTTATTTTGTTTCTTTTTTTCCCCGAGACTCTGTTGCACAAACTGGAGCACAGTCATGGCTCACTGCAGCCTTGAACTTCTGGGCTCAAATGAGCCTCCTGCCTCAGCCTCACAAGTAGCTGGGACTACAGGCAGGAGCGAACTGCACCTGGCCTATTTTTAACACTTTTTATAGGCATGGGGGTCTCACTCTGTTGCCCAGGCTGGTCTCAAACTCCTGGCCTCAAGTGATCCCTGACCTTGGACTCCCAAAGTATTAGGGTTACAGATGTGAGTCGCTGTGCCTGGCCATAATTTAAAATTAAATATTACAATTAATGGTTCAGTAATATTTAATTGAGTTTAGGTTTTGGCCCCCATCATTGAAATGGTATTGTAATTAATAACTTTTGTCAGGTTCACTAAGGAAGTAGTTTAGATCCCAGCATCTATAATGAGTTTAGGTCATTGAAAAAAAACTTGATAGCATTTACGTGGGGTATTTTGTGGTGTATTTAATGTCTTTGCTTTGAAATGCTTTTCTGAATTTTTTTTTCTTACTTGGGTGACAAATAAGTTTTTCTATTATTTGAGTTAGAAGTAAGGTTTTTGCTTCTAGCTTCAGTACGAAATTAGAAGCAAAGACGAATTTATATTGAATTTAATTCGTTGGGTGATTAAAATTATTCTTGATCTGGTTGTGGCTCTGATGTTTACTTTCAAACATAAAATTCTGTTTGTCTTAATCCCTTGCCATGCTCATTACTATGTATAAGTTTAGCCATCAGATTTCTTATAATAGTTAAAGAGTAAAGTTTAGAAATTAAAGAACCAATATTTCTAGGAAACTTAAAGTTGGTAAAGAAATAATTTGCTTTAGAAATAATTTTTTTCAGTATGGGTTGGTAAAAAGGGAGGAAAACATACATTAATTCTGAGTGCTTCTTCCAGGAAAAATTGTTCATTTTCTATATTAGAAACCAATCTTATCTTCCAGTTTGAAATTAGATCAGTTTCACCCATATACTGTACCTAGTTCCACTGGTCTGACATGAGAAACCAAAAGTAAAGGATTTCCTGAGACATCTTCCTTATCTTCTGATGCAATTGATATTTTACCTGGAAATATAACAGAATTCCCCTTACAAATAACATGACTAATAATGCTAATAGCTTTAGCTAATTGTGATCATATTCTTGAAAATATATTTGTGATAGACATTTTTTAACAGAGTTGTATAATATGGTTTAAATATTTATGTATTTAAAGAGAAATCTAATTTTTTCTGTCCCATTGACATAGTCTATTTTGGGCTTCTACTAGAACTGTTTGATAATTCTGTAAGTTTTTAGAGATGGTTGCAGTTAGTTTTCAAGTTAAATTACATTTTTAAAATGTGGCATTTTATTTTTAATTGTATCTTGGGTGCTTTAACAGAGTAGGCACTTGCCAAATAATACCAGTAGTGTAAAAGAGGGGTCCTGCAATGAGATAGATAATTAGAAAATTCAGTTTTATTGGTGCATATAATCAGATAGCTTAGAGTTCATAAGTACCTTATGTAATTTATTGATTGAAACATACTAATTTTCAAGAAGTTAATGTAAATTATATTTAAATAGACTAAGGAATATGTCATTTAAAAGAACCATGCCAACCATAAAAAATGAAGTCCTTCTTTGATTTCCTTATTTTATGGTTTGGATGCTTTTATATAGGCTTTCATAAAATGAGGCTACTTTTTAAAGTGATCAATAAGCTGGGCACGGTGGCTCATGCCTGTTATCCTAGCACTTTGGGAGGCCAAGGTGGGTGGATCACCTGAGGTCAGGACCAGCCTGGCCATCATGGTGAAACCCCATCTTAAAAAAATATATATATGTATATATATATACATATTAAGTGATCAAATGAGGAGGATGAATTACATCTTAGAAAGGATGTAATTCATCAACTTACATGATTTTTAACTCAATTGACACATGAGGATGAATTATAATTACAGTGAAGTTGCAGACTAGCTGGGTGGTGGATAAGTATCTTTCGATTGCTTTTTGTAATGTTTGAATTAAAAATTTACTCATCTCATTAGTCATCTCAATTCCAAATGTTTTTCCAATTCTATTTCACTGAATAACAAAAGTAGCATTGTATTTTGCATTAATAGATCATATTAGTGTGATTTTAATGGCATAAACATTCATTTAAAATCATGATTCACCATTATGTTTACAGGCATTCCCATTGAAGAAAAAGAAAAGGTAGGCTGTTTATCATCTTAAAAAGTCCATTAGGGTTTCTATATTAAAAAGTAGGAAAACATGAAAAACAAACATAAGTACAAAAAGACCTCACGGCTTTCAATATTTTTCTAAACTCATAAGGTAAAAATTTTCGAAAAATTTAAACCCGGTTTTATAATTGCTTGAGGCTAAAATGTAGTTGAGGAATGTTTTAGATTTGGTTGAAAATAGGGAAAATAAAAATCTGGAGTTATGTAAGAATTATCTTGCAGAAACAGGGGGAAATGCTAATATGCTCAGGTTATTTAACACCCGAGCTTGAGTATGAGAGCAGTAAAGAAAGGCAAGGTTTCTCTTCTCTTACCTGGTTTAGAGTCTAGATTTACCACCATAGAAAACAGTCTGGACCAAACATACAGATGATAGTGAAACAGAAAAGCTCTCTCTCCAACCTCTTCAGAGAATTTTTTCTTAAGTTGCTTATTCCACAGCATGAATCCTAAAACTGTAGACAGAGGCTCTAGGGATTTTAAACTGAAACACTTAAATCATTACTTGCAATGCATTTGTATAAAATAAGAGGAGCAAAATAGAGGGGAAACTTGACCACTGAAGGAATGTGGCTTGGCAGCATAGGCCAAAGGAATCCTGAGGCTGAGGATGATCAGATTTAGCAGAACATGAAGCCTCCTAGAATGGGTCAAAAGTGTGTTTGGGTCCTTTGCCATGGCTCTGGCTCTGGCTACTTGCTGCCTAACAAGTAGCTTCTCCTTACCACTTGCATGAGGTTTATCCCAACAGTGGAAAAGGCACTTAGATTTTCTTCCCTTCTTCAGTTTATCACACACTATTAAAAATTCTGCTGGTTCCACCATAGGAAAAACCAGAAGACATTATATAATGAGTCAAACCTGGTGCAAGGAGGGCTTCCTGAGCTTTAGAGAGAAAGCTTTGATTAGCTTAAAAATTTTTGGATTCTACAGGTCAAATAATCATAAGGCAAGAGAAGTCACGCAAATTTCTAAGAACCCCAATTGACATGAACTGTCAGTTTGTAGAAGTCAATAAATGTATACAAAAGTGTTCCACCTTACTGGTAATTAAACAAATGCAAATTAAAAGTTAAAAATTTGTGTATCTTTATAGGCCATTGTTTCTTAAATTAGCCTAATTTATTTATTTAGAGGTGGAATTTTGCTCTTGTTGCCCATGCTGGAGTGAAATGACAAGATCTCAGCTCACAGTGACCTCTGCCTCCTGGATTCAGCAATTCTCCTGCCTCAGCCTCCTGAGTAGCTGGGAATACAGGCACCCACCACCATGCCCGGCTAATTTTTTTCTGTTTTTAGTAGAGATGGGTTTTACCATGTTGGTCAGGCTGGTCTCGAACTCCTGACCTTAGGTGATCCACCCGCCTTGGCCTCCCAAAGTGCAGGGATTACAGGTATGAGCCACCGCACCTGGCCTAAAACCTTATTTATTAAATTTGGAAAGTCCCTTCTTTCCATGGCTAATGAAGTACAGTATTTTTGGAAAGCAGTTATTTTAGAAATAATGTTTGTTTCAAAGTAATGGCCGGGTGTGGTGCCTCAGGCCTGTAATCCCAGCATTTTGCGAGGCCAGAATGGGAGGATCGCTTGAGGACAGGAGTTCGAGACCAGCCTGGTCAACATAGTGAAAGCCTGTCTCTACTAAAAATAGAAAAACTGGCTGGGTGTGATGGCTTGTGCCTCTAATCCCAGCTTGGGAGGCTTAGGTAGGAGAACTACTTGAACCTGGGAGGCAAAGGTTGTGGTGGGCTGAGATCCCACCACTGTATTCCAGCTTGGATGACAGAGTGAGACTCCATCTCAACAAAGCAAAACAAACAAAAAAACCCAAAAAACCCAAAGTAATTATATCCCCCTGAATCAGTATTAGAACTTGTGTCCTAGGGTAATAATGCTAAAAATCGACAAAAGTTATTAATTGCAGTATCATTTGCATGAGGTGGGGTGAAGATCCAAACTCAGTTAAATATTATGGAACCATTGTTTTTCATATTTAATTTTAAATCGTGATTAATGATGGGTATAAAGATTATTTTTAATGCAACCAACATGTTAATGTGCTGGTAATTTTATAATTGAAAAAATGTAAATAACAACTAGAGGCATTGTGGAAGGTTTATGGGAAGAGGTTGAAAACTAGGGAGCCCAGTAAAGAGGTTACATTAATATTCCATATGAGAGATGATGAAGTTCTGGTTAGTCATAATGAGAATAGAGCAGAGAGAAAATTTTATGTAGTGTGTCACCAGATTTTTTAAAGACTTAGTGACTGACCAGTAATCAAGGATATCTCAAACATTTCTATATAAATGATTGGAAATATAGTGATGCTAAGATGGAAGCAATTTGTTTCAGGATCAAATTTGGGCTAGACATGGTGTATCATGCCTGTAGTCCCAGTACTTTGGGAGGCTGAAGTGGGATAATCTCTTGAGCCTAGGAGTTCAAGACCAGGTAGGGCAACATGGTTAAACCACATCTCTACTAAAAATACAAAAAAGTAGCTGGACATGGTGGCTCATGCCCATATAGTCCCAGCTTTTCAGGAGGCTGAGTTGGGAGAATCACTTGAGTCCTGGAAGTTGAGGCAGCAGTGAGCCGAGATTGCACCACTGCACTCCAGCTTGGGTGACAGGAGTAAAACATTCTCTCTTAAAAAAAATTGATGGGAGAAGAGAGAGTTTGATTTTGGAATTAGGGGTTTGAGGTACCTAAATATACAGTGAAGGAGGTTGGGGCCAAGGGAGTACATGAAAGGGCTCAAGATTGCTTTTAAGAAGTGGAGATACTGGCATCCACATCCTCATCAGACCAACTCCTGGTTAAAATTTGGGACTTTCAGAAGTTAAGTGATTTACTTATTTATTAATCAATATTTAAAGCACTTAAATGATGAAGAGTTGAGGATGTTTAACTGAATAAAATAATGTAATTGCTGTTGAACATGGTAATAACTGCAAAGCTTTCTCAGAATTTAGTGTCATCTCAGAATTTGGTGTCAACGGCCGGGTGCGGTGGCTCACGCCTATAATCCCAGCACTTTGGGAGGCCGAGGCAGGTGGATCACGAGGTCAAGAGATCGGGACCATCCGGGTAAACAAGGAGAAACCCCGTCTCTACTAAAAATACAAAAATTAGCTGGGCACGGTGGTAGGCGCCTGTAGTCCCGGCTACTCGGGAAGCTGAGGCAGGAGAATTGCTTGAACCCAGAAGGTGGAGGCTGCGGTGAGCCGAGATTGCTCCATTGCACTCCAGTCTGGGTAACAACAGCGAAACTCCGTCTCAAAAAAAAAAAAAAGAATTTGGTGTCATCTCAGAAATGGAAAGAGTGTAGGCAGGGTGGATTCTTCTTTTTTTTTTTTTTCGCTCTTGTTACCCAGGCTAGAATGCAATGGTGCGATCTCGGCTCACCGCAACCTCCACCTCCTGGGTTCAGGCAATTCTCCTGCCTCAGCCTCCTGAGCAGCTGGGATTACAGGCACACACCACTGTGCCCAGCTAATTTTTTGTATTTTTAGTAGAGACGGGGTTTCACCATGTTGACCAGGATGGTCTTGATCTCTTGACCTCGTGATCCACCCGCCTCGGCCTCCCAAAGCGCTGGGATTACAGGCTTGAGCCACTGCGCCCGGCCGGATTCTTCTTTTAACAAAATGATTTGTTACTGAGCTGTAAGTATGAAAATTAGCTAACTTAAGTTAACCAGTTGTAATCATTGTCCTCTTAACCCCATTCACATTTGGTACTTTTATTATACTATTTACTATTTTCTCTCAGGTGTTAAATTTATTTGCAGTTCCATCCCTTTTGAGGAGTGCTTTGCCCATAGTACACACAGATAGTCGGTATTACGGATACTTGAATAATTCTGCTCTTAAAAATAGCATGTATAATTTCGATTGTGGTAGAAATCTCATTACTGTCATTGATTTCCCTCCCTTTGCCTATTAATGCTTCTAAGACAATGAGCAGATTCTATGTAAATAGTGTTGGGTTTCACAGCACAGTAGGTCATGAAACCCCTCTAAATCATTTAGTCTCAGATCATTTCATCTATTAAATCTTTATTTTACTTCATTGTTAAAACTGAGCTGTTCTTCTAAACAAGTAATGAAATAGTGTTGAACAGTTATTTTAAATGTGCTTTTATTTATAAATTTAGGAAAATGGAAACATTAAAGGAGAAAATTTCTCTTGTTTCAAGCTGTGGGAAAACATCAGTCGGGCAATATTTTTGATATTTTAACCCTTTTCTGCCACTCTTATAAAATTAAAACTTAAACTGTTTTGAGAACCCAATCCATATTTCAAAAACATCATATGCAGTTGGCACTAGCAGTGCCATTTTAATATGCTTTTTTCTGTGTTTTATACAGATTTTTAAAAAGTTGTAATATTTAACCTCTTTTTATTCTTAACCTTGTGGAAAATAGCATAATAAATGGGTTATTTTTCTCAATCTTGATATTTCAGTCTATATTTATCATATGGCCTCGGAAGTCCTGAACTTTTACAGTTGGTAAAACTGTAAAACAAAAGAAAAACAAAAGAGTACTTTTTCTTTTTACCTTCAGTGGTCTCTGGGGCTGTACTTGGGCTGAGCGTTTCCAGGCACCTGCCATTTGCATCTTCCTCTGTAAATTGTGTGGTAGGTTCATATTGCAGGATTGCATCCAAATCATGGAAGAACTTCATAGTTTTAGAGCTGTCTCCAGATTTATGGGCATATTTAACTGTTCTATATTCATATTTGAGATTTTTGTACTTAGCCCGGCACTGTTTCCAATCTCTGTGTACTCCTAATGATTGCAGCCTTTTAGCAATGTAAATAAATATTCCTTTATTTCTTAGTGTTCCATAAAGTTGTTTTCGTATATTTTTTTCTGCCCAGACACTTAGCAAAGCTTTAACCTCCTCCTTAGTCCAGTGCTTTCCTGCTCCACTCTCCATGTTGAAAATGACCTGGAAATGATTCACTATTTCTAGCCAAGGTTTTGTTTCCTAGGAAACCAGACGGCTGGTTGTCAATAAGCTCCAAAGAGCTGAAAGGATCTAGTTTAACTGGTTCAAGCTGCCTGAGGGAGTAACTTGAGAAACTGCCAAATAAGCAGGCTTTGTGATTAAAGAAGCCTGAACCTAAATGATTCTTAACCATACTCATTTCAGCTTGGAGGAAAAACTACCCTTGAGACAAAGGGGAAAGAAAACCATTTTTTAATTTCTTTCCTTACATAATTTACTGTTTTATCAAATGATCGTTGATTTTTAAAAATTGTTTTGAACATGGTTGGCAGAGGTTCTTTTTGCCCCGAGGTTTATAGCCAATGTTAATAATACTCCCTCTGACATGAATCACTTAGTCCTCTAACACTGGTTAACTTACAGACCCCACAGCATTTCACTAAAGACATTCTAAGTCACAATTTATTTAGTTCCATATGGTATATAGTATTATGCACATCTATTTTCAGTATTTAGTGCATTTAACAAAATCATTTCTTGAGGCTTCTGTGAGCCATGATCATGCCACCTTTTTTTAGTTTTACTTACTTGGCAAACATATTTAATGTTGTAGTTTTTTGAGTTAATAAAACGGTGCAACAGTTGCAATATATAATTTTGAAAAAGGTTTCTTTTTATCAATGTATTAACAGCTACTAAAGTCTACAGGCACATGGAAGAGGTTTACTTTTTATTTCTACACTGATACATATTCTTTGGAACAAACATTGGTCAATAAACATCTACAATTTATAGCACTTGTTCAGAACTATTAAAAATTGTAAAGCAGTTGGAACCTTGATAAGAGTATATTGCATAGCGGTGCGGATGCTGTTAGTCTTTACTATGTCTTGCCCTACCTTCAGTCTAATTTTGGCTTTTTTCTGTGTGTCACCACTTAAAAACACTAAGGCAGGAAATCAGACACAGACATTGGAAAGGGTGCCTGGTCAGTAGAGGGTTTTCAGAAGTGACATTAATTTTTTTCTGATAACAGAAGTGCTATTTATTGGAGAACATTTGGAAAATGCAGAAAAACACACACAAAAAAAGGTTACAGTTTCAGTACCAACTATGCCTCTGTTATATTTGGAGATTTTCATTTACATCTACATACTCATCCTGTTGCAACCCTATTTAGAGGTGAAAAAGTATAGGGGTTAGAAGCCGGAGCTGGATCATCTGAGTTCTAATCCTGGCTGTACCATTGTCTGTGTGACAATGGAAAAGTAACCTCTTTTCTATTGCTTTAGTGTTGTTTATCTGTAAAATGGGTGTGATAATCATAGTACCTACTTCAAAAGATTGTTGTGAAAGCCAAATCAGATCACTTATGCCATCAACCTAAATAATTAAAAGGATCAGAATCTACTTTAAAGAGAGTTTATTCCAGCACCGTGTTTGAGGATGACCACCTGGCAACACCAACTCCAAGGAACAGAGTCAGCATTGCCAAGTAGGAAAGTTAAGGTTTTGTTTTGTAGGTAGAGACAGAGGAGTTTTTAGCAGAATCACCACATTTTTCATATAAGGTTAGCGCACAGTTACAGCAGTTTGATTGGTTATAGACAGTGTTTCTTTTGGGAAGAGTATATTTAATATTTTTCACAGAGGTTGTAATTGTGAATGGGTTTTCTTTCATTTGGTCTAAGCAAAGCAGGACAACAAAGTAGAAGTTAATCTTTCACAAAGGTCATCAATTGAGAAGGCAGGAGGTTATTGTCTCTGGTGTCTTAATTCTCTCTCACTGTATAGAACAAGAAAAATAAGAAAGTGAGTTAATGTATAATCTGAGAAATGAATTTGTAACCATATGTGACTCGGATCACAGTCATCTCTCTCTGAAGGCTTAAAGTATATTTGGGTTTCCAACAGCTTTTATTTATTTTTACAACATGAAATGCTTAGGACAGACTACCTGGCATGTTAGAATTAGATAAGATATCTAATTGTTACATTGTCATCTGCGACTGCTAATCATCAGCATCAGCATCATCAATAGAAGTAGTGCTAGGACAAGTAGCATTTAATGTGTTGTCACACTAAGTTCATAGATGCTTGTTGAGAAAGTGTGCTTGATAAAGTTCTTCAAGAAGCTTATCCATCAGCAGATTTAACAGCCAATATCTTTTTATTTCACAGGGGTCAGGAGAGTGCTGGTATTGTGACTAGTGACGGCAGTTCAGTGCCAACATTCAAATCACACAAGGTAAATTTGAACATTAGGAAATGTTGATGACAAAGATAACAAAAGACAGATGATCATTAATATATGGGGAGGAGGGAGTTGAATAAATGTCAGCAGTGGAAAGTAATATTCTTTGGATCAGCCACTTTCAATTTTATATCCTAACATTTGTCAAATAGGATGTATTTCTTTCCCAATGACAATTTTTTGCCTAAGACCGACTCACTCAAATAGAGAGTTATCTATTCAGCTGCTTTAAGATGCTTTGACTTTATTTATTTATTTATTTATTTATTTATTTATTTATTTATTTATTTGAGACGGATATTTGCTCTTGTTACCCTGGCTGGAGTGCAATGGCGCGATCTCGTCTCACCGCAACCTCCGCTTCCTGGGTTCAAGCAATTCTCCCGTCTCAGCCTCCTGAGTAGCTGGGATTACAGGCACACGCCACCATGCCCAGCTAATTTTTGTATTTTTAGTAGAGACGGGGTTTCATCATGTTGACCAGTATGGTCTCGATCTCTTGACCTCGAGATCCACCCGCCTCGGCCTCCCAAAGTGCTAGGATTACAGGCTTGAGCCACTGCGCCCGGCCTGACTTTTTTTAATGCAAATTTTAGTTTTTATACTTGATAAATTTTATTGCTTAGTACATCTGTTCTTAAATGTTTTAGTGAAAAGCATCTTATGAAACACAGCACTTCAGTATTGTGAAGGTACTAAATGCCACTATTCTCTTAAGAATGGTCAATTTTATGTTACGTGACTTTTGCCTCAATATAATATTTTTTTAACGTAAGTGCTTCACAGTTCTTGCAGTTAGGTTAAGTTTATTTTTGGCTTTTTTTAGATTAGAATTCTGAAACAAATGTACTTCATTGTCTTATTTGGATTGGCTGAGCAGAGAAGAGAGGCTTTTATTACTCACTAGTAGTACTAGTCTGTTTTTTTTCTAAGTTGCACTTTTTGATCTCTCAAGGGAATGGGTCTTGTAAATCACGTCTTTACTGAAGACAATTTGAAAAAATTGTATGTTTCAAATCTTGGAATTGGACACACAAGATATGCCACTACAGGAAAGTGTGAATTAGAAAATTGTCAGCCCTTTGTTGTTGAAACACTTCATGGGAAGATAGCTGTGGCACATAATGGTGAATTGGTAAATGCTGCTCGGTTAAGGAAAAAGGTATGTTGGTTTGTTTTTCCTAAGCCTTTTTAAATGATTAGGATGGGTTAATGAGTAAAAGCTGAGGATTTTGTAAAGGGCATTTTCTAATTGTTGCTACCTGTTACTTAACTGCAACAAACAATTGCATCAGAGTTATCTGGAGGACTTGTTAGAATTCCAGACTGTAAGATATCCTCTAGAGCTGGAGACAAGGGTGAGAATATGCATTTTAGACTCACTTTTTGAACACACTGCTTTAGAGGAGAGATTTGGGAGAGTTGATTTATGATTGGAAGCATAGAGAAATTAGAGTTGATGGACTCGCTATCTCTTTAACTCTGTTGCTGTGTTCAAAACTTGTATAACATAAGAAAAACCAAGCTGCTTTTCCTTCTCTCAGACTCAACACAGCCCACTTCTGGGACCAAACAAGGGGATCTCTTATACCAGCCAGTTTTCCAGAGGACACCAAATAGGTATCCTATAATTCGGTTGTATTCTGATAGTACCTGGAGGCAAAGTCTGGTTCCAGAATTTAAGGGCTCAGTCCCACAAAACTGTCCCCTGCTTCAGATGCCAGTTGCAAGTCCAGGCCTCTGGTACATCTGACAGCCAGTTATAAATTGGGAGTTCTGCAACAGCCCCAGCCCTGCCTTTGGCCTCAAACGTCACAAAACTGAAGAAAAGTGCTTTATTTACATTTACCAGTTTATTATAAAGGATATTACAGAGGCTACAGAAGAATAGTCTGGTGAAAGGATGGAAAGGGCAGGGTATGTGGGAAGGAGCATGGAACTTCCATGCCCTTCCCAGGGGCACCACCCTCCAGGCATCTCCAAGTGTTCAGATATCCAGAAGCTCTCTCAACCCAGTCATTGTGGGTTTTTATGGAGGCTTCATGAAGTAGGCACAATTGATTAAATCATCAGCCAGTGGTGATCAGCTCAGTCTTTAGCCCTTCTCCCCTTCCCTGGGGGTCCGGAGATGAAGCTGGAAGTTCCAACCATCTGCTTGATTCCCCTGGCAACTAGTCCTCATACTGATGCTATGCAGGAGCCCCTAGCTACCAGTCATCTCAATAGCATATGGAAGGACATCTATCATTTTGGCAATTCTAAGGGTTTTAGGATAAAAGAGCAGGATAAAAACCAACATACATATTAATTCTTATATATCACAAAAGCATAAAAATAAAATGGAGTATAAACTTGAAGATGACATAAAAAAATCAATTGGAAACAATGACAGGAAACGAGAGTCTGCAAAAAGGGACAGAGTGTTTACTTAAACTTTTGGTTCACAGCATATTGTTTAGAGCTCTCTGTGCTAATGTCAAATTTGTGCCTATGCTTTTCATTCATCATTTCATCTTTCTTTTTTTAAAGAAGTGCTTGGTACCTTTATATTTCTAGTAGCTTCCTTTTATCCATTCAGGCCATTCCTTAAAATGATTGCTGTTTTTTCAGTTTATTAACTCCCAATAATCTTGACTTGGGAACTTAAGAACCTGGTGATATTTATAGATGGTTACACGCACACCCCAACATCCTTTTAGCATTCTAGAGCTGGGCAATTCACATATGATGGAACAGTTACAGAAGC